GTTCTTGCAGCTTTATGATCTATTGAGTAGCACAGCTGGGTGAGGCTTCTACTTCTCATGTTCACGGCCATTCATATGGAAGTCCCCTTGTAATTCATTCAGCTGGTGATACCTGCGGAGGCCAGAACTCATTAACAGAGCACATAATCTGCAATTTCCAGTTAAAATCTTTCAGATTGTAGAGAAACCTTCTTGCTGTGCATCTGAGGAAGTGATCTCTTGCTCATAAAATCTCATGCTGAAATAAATCTTTTTAGTCTTAGAGCTTTTGGACTGCTGTTTAAAACAGGGGTGAGTGGATTAGAAAGCCAGTGGGTGGATTGCAGACATCTTCAATTTGGAGTACAGGTTCATGTAGAGCGTTAGAACCACAGCCGAAGCTATCAGAACTTCTGATAACAGATCTAGCTTAGAACTGTCAACTCAAACCTCTCCATTATTCCAGACTACAAGATTTCTGCCATATGAGATTATTTAATTGATAATCACAAATTACACATTCTATCAGTTTATTTTAGATAAGAGAAGAGACTGGATTTATACCACAACCTTCACTACCCAAGGGAGTCTCAGAGCGGCTTTCAAACTCCTTTCCCTTCCCCTCCCCACAGCAGACACCTGTGAGGTAGGTGGGGCTGAGAGAGCTCTGACAGAAACTGCTCTTTTTCAAGAACAGCTCTGACAGAACTATGGCTTGCCCAAGGTCATCCAGCAGGTGCAAGTGGAGGAGTGGGGAATCAAACCTGGTTCTCCCAGAATAGTGTCCGAACACCTAACCACTACACCAAACTGGCCATGAAGGGCCTTGAACATGGCAACCAGTACTTGAGTGGAGCCCTGTAACTGATGGAGTGACTGCAGGATAGGTTATTCTAGCATGAACACAGATGAAGCTGCCTTATACTGAATCAGTCCCTTGGTCCATCAAGGTTAGTACTGTGAAGTCAGACTGGCAGCAGCTCTCCAGGGTCTCAGACGCAGGTCTTGTGCATCACCTACTGGCTGGCCCTTTTAACTGGAGATGCCAGGGATTGAACCAGGAACCTCCTGCATGCAAAGCAGAGGTTCTTCCACTGAGCCGTAGTCCTTCCACAGGTGTGACATGTATGTTCTGCCTTGCACCCACTAGTAATTGGGCTGGTCAGCTTCTCCTCAGTAGTCCCAATATTGTGTTTGAGTTTTAATTATGGTAACTTAACCACAAGGCTAGAAATTGCCACAGCAAAATACAGAGCCCTGAAGAATCATCGGATATTGTAAAAAGGAGCCCGAACAAAACGGTCAGTAACATCACAAGACTGGGGTGTGGATGAGGTGGCACACTCCCCAACAGCTTTAATCTGAACAGCAAGTTCTTTTACTTAGGCTTCCTCCCCCCATCCCCAATAAAGCACATGGTAAGCTGCTCAGATATATTTAGGGCTCCTATACAAATACTACTTTTGTACTGTTATGTAATTTTCAAAAATTTTCTACTGCAGATCTCTTCTTCACCCTTCCTCCCAATAAAAATATCTTCAGCATGATTCACTGGAAATATGTCCATATTTTGCAGCAGACAGGGTGCTGCCAAAGCCAACAAGGTACTGTTCTGGAACTACCTTTCTGTGTATATAGAAATTATGGTTGCCAGCCTCCAGGTGGTGGCTGGAGATCTGCTTTTACAACTGATTTCCAGGCAACAGGGCCCAGTTCACCTGGAGGAAATGTCTGCTTTGGAAGTGGACTCTATGGTATTATACCCCATTGAAGTCCCTCCCCGCCCTCCTCAGGCTCCACCCCCAAAAAAATCTCCAAGTACTTCCCAACGCAGAGCTGGCAACCCTAATAGAAATGCTTATAGTAAAAAAAGAAAAACCAGTCCTTTGTAAAATAATATACTCCTGCATTATGAATGTTCATACCAGAACAGCAGCTATCAGAGGTATAATATATGAATTTATAAATGCATTCTTTGGTCTGATAGTGTTTTTAAATGCATCATTACTGAAACGTATTTCTTAGATTCACACAGGTCAGCAGCACATTTTGTGACTGATAAAACCATTGCTTCTGACATCAGTGATCTTTAAAGACTGTATAGAATGAAGGCCAACCAGCTATCACAGGAACACCATTGTTACTATAAATTTAATAAAATAGCTCAATTTTAACAAAAGAAAGCTGAACAAAAAAGTATCCAGAATCAGCAAGCTCTTCAGGATAGACAGTACAGACCCTGCCTCTTTCACTGAATCCTCAGAGAATAATGGAAAACATCACTGACTTATTTTCTGTGTATCAAAAAAACCAACACAACTGTGTATAATAGTATAGAAAATAACCTCTTTTGAATCAATAATCTACAATCCCACTGTATAGTGGTTATATATTAATTCAATCACAAAGACATCAATTTCATATGTCCATATCAGTTACAAACAGCCTTATTCATATACATCAAAGTCCAGTGGATGAAACAGGCAAAGCTTGTCCAGATGCAAGATCCACAATTGATGATTTCAAAATAGAATCAGGAATTCATGAAGCATTTCCTTCCAACGAGCATGCTAGCTAATTAGTTGTCTTTCCCATCACAGCTTTTTCAAAGAAAGATCCACGTTCCATGATTCTCTATAACAATCTCAGAAAAGAACTCTCCATAAATTCCCTGTGTGATGCAATTCCATGCAACCCTTTTCTGCACTTTCCCCAATGCTATCTTTTTTTGAGGTGTGGTGACCAGAACTGTACTCAGTATTCCAAATGAGGCTGCACTATCAATTTATACAGGGGCATTATGATACTGGCTGATTTGTTTTCAGTTCCTTTCCTAATAATCCCCAGCAGAGGCATTTTTTGAATCCAAGCAAGATATTTGTGTGATATTCACTTTGGGAAGGATTTGTGATCTGCGCCCAACTGATTGGTTATTGTTCTTGCTGAAAAATAGGCATAATCTTAAGATCTTGAAGGTTACTGCTCTCTGTGAAGGATATTTCCTGAGGAAGAATTCCATTTGAAACATTGGAAATCTGGAAATGATGTTGAATAGGATTTTTCTTATGATATTGTACATTGTATTAATTTCAAACAGACATTGTTTACTGTATAAAAGATGCATGGATATTACTCACTGCATATACAAATTCTCTGACTGTTGATACTTTGGGGTCTGATGTTCACGGTTGTTTTCTGATTTTGTTTGACACTGAGTTGACATTTTCAGTGGGTTATGTACCACGACTCCAAGAGCTCTCTCCTGGTCAGTTAGCGCCAGTTTGGACACCATTAATGTGTATTTATAGTTAGGATTTTTGGCTCCAATGTGCATTACTTTGCACTTGCCCACATTGAACCTCATTTGCCACGCTGATACTCACTTGCCCAGCCTTGACAGATCTCTATGGAGTGCCTCACAATCCTCCCTGGTTCTCACCACCATGAACAACTTAGTGTCATCTGCAAACTTAGCCATTTGACTGCTTACTCACAACTCTAAATAATTAATGAACAAGTTAAAAAGGACCCGACCTAGTTCCAAGCAGTACCCAACTGCTCACAACCCTCCACTGTGAAAACTGCCCATTTATACTCAGTCTGTTTGCTGTTAACCAGTTTTTATTTATTTCTTCAAATTTATACCCCGCCCTCCCAGCCAGAGGGATTGGATTTATCCTCTTATCCCATGACTACTGAGCTTACTTAGGAACCTTTGATGAGGAACTTTATCAAAAGCTTTCTGGATGCCTAGGTCAACATCTATTGGGTCACCCTTGTCCACAGGTTTATTCACCCCCTCAAAGAACTCTAACAAGTTAGTGAGAAAATATCTTCTTACAGAATCCTTGCTGATTCTTCCTCAATAGCTTTTGTTCATCAATGTGCCGACTAATTCTATCTTTAATAACAAATTTCACTAACTTACCTGGTATCGAACATTAACCTGACTGGCCTGTAATTTCCTGGATCTCCTCTGGAACCTTTTTTTAAAAATTGGGGTTATATTAGCTACCTTCTAATCCTTAGGAATAGGAGCTGCGGTGGCTCAAGTGGTTAAGATGCTGAACTGCAGGCTGTGAAAGGTCGGTAGTTCAGCAGTTCAAGACCCGAGTTGCCGCATGACGGAGTGAGCTCCCATCTCTAGTTCCAGCTCCTGCCAACCTAGCAGTTCGAAAGCAAGAAATTGCAAGTAGATAAATAGGTACCACTTCGGTGGGAAGATAACAGCCTTCCGTGCGCCTTGGTGTTTAGTCATGCCAGCCACATGACCACAAAAGAACAGAAGTTCTGGTCAGTGGCCGCAGAGAGAGAACTGAGGAAAGGGTGCTCCGGCTCCTCTATATCACATTGGAAAAGACAGGAAAATGTGTGGGAGAGGAGGATGGAGCAGTTTGAGCTTCAAAAAATCCTCTCCATGGCAGTCCTGTACGTACGCAGTACCCATGTAGGACTGCAAAGGTATCACTATGATGAACAGCATATGTAATGTATTTTAAAAGTGACATATCACTCCCTCTCAACCTTCTAAGAACAGAGCTTGTTCTGAAACTTTTTTAAACCAGGAAGCTCCTAGAGAGCCAGTTTAGTGTGTGGACTCTAATCTGGGAGAACTGGGTTTGATTCCCCACTCCTCCACTTGCACATGCTGATGTGACCTTGGATCAGTCACAAGCTCTGGCACAGCTGTTCCTGAAAGAGCAATTTATGTCAGAGTTCTCTCAGCCCCACCCACCTCACAGGGTATCTGTTGTAGGGAGGGGAAGGGAAAGGTGTTTGTAAACCACTCTGAGACTCCAAGTGAAGGGCAGGGTATAAATCCAATCTCCTCCTCCTCTTCTTCTTAGCAACTGGGATTATTTGGCTGAAGATTACTGTTTTGTCACGCAAAAAACTTTCATCTAAACAATTTATTCTTTCCCAATACCTATTTCCTTGATGGCACTTTAAAAAACAAGTAGTGACCAAATCAGATAGGCAATGAGGCAGGCAGACACCACTAGGTCACTATTTGGGTTCATTTTTTTTTTATTTATGCCTTGCTAGATAATAAATAATGACTACACTACTTTAATAACAGATGTTTTCATGCATGTAACACATACAATAGTACTGGCTTATGTTTTTATTAGGATATATTGAGAAGAGGTATTTGGCAATAATAATATGGACAACTGCAAAAATCATAGCACAAATTCTCTTTGCTGTTAAGTTTTTTACATTTCCTTTATACAGCTTCAAATATTAATATCCTTTTTAAATCCTTCCACTTTCAGTAAGCCCAGGGGGAAAAAATATAACTGCCAATAAATAGCATTCATCATTTATATATTTTAAGATTTATAATTTTGGCCCCATTTGTGCAAAGCCATGTCGATTTCTAGAAGGGAAAAAAAAGCAACAGCAGAAACTTAACTCATTGAAACTATTCAGTGCAAATGCCAATCTAGTCCTGATAGCGCTTAGGGGCACACCACCCACCGGGAAGTTCTCCAGAACAATCTCCAGTGAAATGAATGGGGACTGCACAAGAACACCAATTCTTCTGCAAGCTCCCTTTCATTGTCACTGGGCCCACTGGAAGGGAATGATGCCCTTGCAAAGTGTGTCCTAAGGCAGCATCGTTCAAATGAAATATATGGCCAGATGTGTAAACAAGTGAATACTATGGTATTTAAGACAAATTTCACCTAATACACAGATGTTGCAGTGCTAAACCATCCTTCAGGCTTTTGGCTGATCAGAGAGGCTTCCGGGTGAGAATCTGCATTTTAACTGTAGTAGAATGGGTAAAAAAGAACTAGCTGATATAATACAAATAAATCCAGTTTTTTAAAAAAATCTAAATTAACACTGAAAAAGTGTTTATTTACAGTTTCTCAGTGATACCAGTGTATAGCCACACAGCTGAAGTACAGGGTTTTGTTTTAAAATACAGGTAGCTGCCTACCCAACCCCTTCCAACATTGGATAACAGTACAAGGTCTTCTTTCAATGTCAATTTAATGAAGGGGATCGATCTGTGGTCCAGAGGAGTTCTATGTATGGCCATTTGGTCTGCAAACAGCGCTTGATTGGAGTATCATCAGTCTGTAGCATAGGGTCTTCAAAGCCCATAATCACCGCTGTGCCTTCAACATACATGACCTGCCAGTATGAAATGATCTAGCTTAGTCTACTATTTTAGAGATTTGGGGAAAAACCCACAAAAGAACAATGCAAAGTTTACTCTGGAATCAGTTTAAAGCTTAGCTTACATTAAAATCACACATTATTTATGACTGGATCTCCTCATGTTTTTCAACCATTAAAGAGTAGCTGTGGGAGGCCCAGATTTGGACTGAAGTCATGGCACTGGGGTAGGAATTAACCTTTCCCCATAGAACCTGATATCCCCCACAGCTGCTACTAACTGTGATAAGGGAGAGGAAAGAAGTACATAGCATCTTCACCCTCCCCCATCCAGAGTCTGGGAGTGTGTGTGTGTGTGGGTTCTACCAGGGAAACAGCACAGAGGAATTTTTTAACTAGTGCTAATGCTTCTGCCATGGCTGTATTTTAATGTTAAAGAAAGCACTGGGTCAGTCATGCATCTCCCACATAATATGGCCTTCAAACTAGCAGCCTAGCCTAATATACAAGGTTGTTGTGAGGATAAAAAACACAGGAAGATTTTCCTGATGACCTCAGGAGTTGCTCCTGTCTTTAGGAGGTTAGCCCCCTGTTGTCTCCATGGTTACCAGTGAATCTACTCATGGGACATCCCTTTCATTAACAGGGGGAGTGGCCGAGGCAATACTGAAACCTGGTAATGCAATGTTTTTGCTAGCGCAATCCCTACAACATTGGATGTAAACATTTTTCATGCAACCTGTTTCCTTATGCTGGAATATAATTTGTCAAGCTCCATGGCAACATGTTTATACACACCTAAATGAGCTTCCTTGCTGACATTTGGAGCACTGTTATGTTAAGGCTCTCATTAAAAAGTCGTTCACTTTTTATTAATAAAGACTAAATCTGTGATAAAATGTATTTATCTTCGGTGATATGTTTTTGTTTCTAATGTGTTTCAATTGTTCTCATGCGGCAACCAGCACAATAATGATTATTTATCCAATGGAGAGCCGGCAACTTGGAGGTAACCTGAATGCAGCTTGCTTCATTTGGGTTTTTGATACAGTCAATTGCAATTCTAATTGAAGTGCCACTTCTAATTTGGTATGGCTCTGCTCATTTTGTCTCAAGTGGCCATACCTTTTCATTATAATTCGATTGCTTCAATCCATTGTAGTGGTATACGGGGAATGATTCTTGAACCTTGGAGTCCTAAATGCAAACATAAAATGGTCAGTTTCAAATCACAGTTTAGTCTCATGGAGGGGATTTCTTCCCTTTCTTTGTTCAGCGTTTATTTGTTGTTTGCCATCAAGTCACAGCAGAAGGGTTTTCAAGGCAAGAGACGTTTTAGGGGTTTGCCTTTGCCTGCCTCTGCGTCTTGACCCTGGTATTCCTTGGTGGTCTCCCATCTAAATACTAGCCAGGGCCAAACCTGCTTAGCTTCCCAGATCTGACAAGACTGGGCTAGCCTGGGCTATCCAGGTCAGGGCTTCAGCATTTATACTCTGTTATTAATATATGGGAAGAACACTTGCAGGTGAGGAAATAAATAGAATGCATTATCATGAAGATCTTCTAGGACCTTGAAATTAGAACAAAAGAGAAGTATCCCAACTGTAAAAGACAGTATTGATGCATTGGTCAGAGTGCTGGACTTAGACCAGAGGACCTGGGTCCAAATCCCCACTTACCATGACATTCTGTATGAATGTTGATCTGTCATATTCCCTCTCAGCTTAATTTACCATACCAAACCGTTGAGATGATAAAAACAGCAGGGCCCGTAAAACAGAGCTCTTCCACCAGGCTTTCGATTAAGGTGCTGCCTTTTAATAGCGTGGCCCTCGGCCCAACATCTGCACTCACTTAACAACTAACAGCCTGGCAAGAACCCGGAGTATGGTGGTAGCTGACCACCTGGATGTTGAGAAAATGCCGCCATCTTTTATGTTCCTTGAAATCTGTGGTTATATGCTGTGGTTTTAATCTAACTTCCGTGTCTTAACATACCTTGCTGTTTTAATATTTATATATATTCTGTAAGCCACCCTGAACAAATAAAATAATAAAATAAAATAAAGGTGCCACTTGACTCTAAATTTGTTCTACTGCTACAGACCAACACGGCTGACCACCTGGATCTAGTCCCATAATTGGCTACTTTTCACTTAGTCTCAAACTGTCTGATCTCTTTTCAGAAGAAATCATACCTCAAATGAACAGATGAGCAACAAGAATTTCTGTTGGACCTCTTTAGTGCTGAAACCTAATTGAGCAACTCCACTCCTGCACTTGCCCCTAGTACTAAGAAGCATTCTTTCCTTGGGATGACCGGGGGGTGGGGGGCTGTAGTTGGTGACAGTGGCCTGGTGGTGTTCCTACCACTTTAAATACAGCAAGTGGCTCCTGGGTGACCATACAAGCATCTTCTGATGCTGGTAAACTACTACAAATATATTTGTATTTGTAATAGTTTGGAATAAATAAAGAGGGGTCAAAGGGGGAAGAATGAGGGAATAACATGAATGTCTGATATTTAAAAGTGGAACACATCACTGACCTATATATATATTTACAAAACGGCCTACTTTAAGCAGCACAAATATAAATTGTTAGGTTACCTGTTCAGGGAAAAATTCTTGAAGAAATGGACCTAGTAATATAATTCCTAGTCCCTCTGGATCTAATTTGGTCTTCATGAGATTGACACTAAGATAAGGAAAAAAAAACACAAAACATCAGTATGATGCATTTGTACTCTTGCATGACTAAGTACTGTGGTTCTGAAACACTTTTTACTGCCAAAAACAATGAAACTGTTGTATTTAAAATCTTAATGGCAACTGCAAAGGAATGGCATCTTGTTGCCAAAATCTAGTTATTTTTAAACCAAAGTAATCTTATTTGAAATTAAAGTGGTAGCAATAATTGAGACACTATGCCTTATTAGGCAAAGCTTTCAGAAAAACCACACTGTCTAATTCCTGGGCTTGTACTCCAGAAAACTTAATGGATACGGCAGATGGTTCTGAGCATTAACATATTCATTGTCTTCCAAACCATACTGGAAAGACCAAGCCTTGTTTTATTTATCTGACAAGCAACAAACAAACAGTATTAACCATGGACCAAATACAGCAGATTTACAGTGCAATCCTATGAAGAATTACCCTAGGCTAAACCAATTAATTTCAATGGGTTTAGAACAGAGCAACTCTGCACAGGATTGTACTGAGAGACATAATGAATTTACCTATATTATGCATTTAAATCAAAGCATCTTAATGGCACAGTGTCTTTTTACATTATCTATGCAAGCTATACTGATATTCAGAGTTGTACGTTAATAGAATAAATACTATATTAGTAAAATTTAGTTGCTGATATGGAGTTCTGTCCAACCAATCAGCAGCACAATGTGTGCGAATTTTCCTGTTTCCCTTCTCTCAATGGGGCCCTCTAGAAAAATGATGGGGGGATCCTACCCAGATTCTACCACTCCATTGGCCAAAGTTTATTCATCTGTTTAATAAAATATTTATACCCTACAATTCATTGTGGCTCAAGTCTGATCCCTTCCTCCAGTCTAAGGAGCCTTCCTTAAACTCAAGGGCTCTTCCATGGGAGGAAGGGCCACAAGTAGGAGGAAGGCTAGAGGCTGCCTGGAGACCTATGGAAGAAGACTGTGGGGTCAGTCCACATGTGCTGCGCTAGTGGTTGGATACAACCTGTGGTATTTGTGACTGGAGTACGAAAAAAAGTTACACCACTTACCCCCACACTTGTACATAACTGCAGTCAAGCAGTCATTCTGCCTGAGCCAAATTATTTTTATATGCACAGAATATTTTGCAACAGATCTACTTACACAGCTTATTCTAGAATGAGAAATGGTACATAGCTATACGGGAAATAAAATATTCAACGTTTCTTTTCACTGAGAGCCAGTGTGGTGTAGTGGTTAAGAGTGATGGACTAGCAACTGGGCCACTTGATTCCAAATCCCCATTCATGCCATGGAAGCTCACCAGTCAAACTCCCGCAGCCCACTCCCTCACAGGATTGTGAGGATAAAATGGAAGAGAGGAGAACAATGTAAGGCAATTTGGGCACAAATGAATTAAATAAAGGAATAGTGGACACAAAAACTTCATAGAACAGTTTTCAAAACCAGAAGCTGAACTCATGTGCAAGCATCTTTTGTTTTATAGCTGACATGTACTGCACCAGGTACCTACCACACAGGAAAAAAACCCTTATCTTACAAAATGATACCCAAATTGAGCCCTGAAGATTAAGGATAATTTATGCTTACTATTCAGTATCTGACACAAGATCTAAAGCCTTCATTACATCTTCTAAAAGTGTATCTGGTATAAAGCCATTATCTAAAAAACAAAATACATTAATTAGCACATACAAATATTAATTTTACCTGTAAATGTTGGTATGGTCTATGAAATTACCCCCCAGTTAAACTGAAAATTACTGCTTCCTGGAATCTGGAAACTGTGCATAATTTTAAAGCAGGGTTTGTTTATTTATGAACTCTAAACAAGGGACCAGCTAGAGCGTATGCTCAGTATCGGGTATCTAACTGCCCCAATTTTACACCTTGCCCCTTTCCTTTAAGAGCAGGTAGGACATGCTTAGGCTTGTGCTGCGCATCTCACCTTCAGGGTCATATGTCTGAAAGACTCTCCTGGCTTGTTCCGAAGGGGCTTCAGGAGCCACAAGAGCCAAATCCTTCAGAAAAAGAAATCCATAAGATTACTGATTCACAGTAAAAACATATAAAGGCCCTAAGCCCTCTGACAATGAAGAGCGGCAGCTTCCTAATAAAAAATTCAGGGGAAAGACATTATTTTTTAAAAAAAAAACAGCAAAGAGAAAGTAATTATCAGGCACTGAGCCACGAAAATGAACAAGTGGAACTTGCTGGTCTTCTCTAGCAGCAGCAGCAGCAGCAGTCCCTCCCATGACCAAGGGGCACTCTCTTCCAGGTGTATCATTTTCTAACTGGGCTGAAACAGATTGTACACCTTACCCCAGGGATCCTCCCCGACAAAGGTCTCTATCAATATTCTTGCTTGAACAGCGCACGCGCACATGGCACATCAAGAAAGCAGGCTGTGGCAAGCACAAATACAGGACAGGAAATGTTTGTGTATTGTGAGGCCCCTTCGCGCACAGTTTAAGGCCTATTTTTCAACAGAAAAATACACAGTGTGTGATCAAAATATGGAATTCGCTGCCGGGGGATGTAGTGATGGCCACAGGAATAAACAGCTTTAAAAGAGGATTATTTATTTATTTATTTCGATTTATATCCCCACCTTGCCAGATTCATGGAGGATAAGTCTATCAATGGCAACTAGCCATGGTGGCTGAGGCGAACCTCCACATTCAGAGGCACTAATCCTCTGAATCCCAGAGCCAGGAGGAAACATCAGGGAAAGAACCTGGCCTCTATGCCCCATTGTTGGCTGTCCAGAGGAACTGGTTGGCTACTTTGTGAGACAGGATGCTGGACTAGATGGATCATTGGTCTGATCCAGCACGGCTCTTCTTATGATCTTATGACCATGCAACTAAGGGGAGGTAATTTGCAGTGAATTAAGGTGTAAGAAACAACCTTCTCCCCATTTTCTTTACTCGTGAAAGGTAGGTTGCCCTTCTTCCCTCTGTACCTGGGTGTGGGGTGGGTGGGTACAGAATTCAGGAAAACAGGCTGCTTTAAAAACTTTTTTTTAAAATGTTAAGAAATCTCAGATGCATTCTCATTACAGATCTCTCATGTCTCATCTGGTTTGGCCTTGATCTATTTCTGCCTGTGGTATGTTATCAACTGTATTCAGATGATACAGCAGACACTCTCTCTAAGATTATATACATACAGTGTGGCAATTACCGCTGTTGCCTCTCCACCAACCCCATCTCTAGCACTGCCTGCCTGTCCTGCTGTTGTCAGGTTTGGAGGACCCTTCTCCTTTAGTTTCCAATGTTAAACTATCCAACAGACTGTCTCCACCCCAGAATCTGAACTAAAAAGGTTAGTTTTGAGTTCATTACTTTTTACAAGTTGCAAAAATTATTCATTTTGGGCAGCAACACTTATTAAAAAGGTGACAAGTCTCTTTAAAATGTACTGTATCTTCTAGACTTCTATTATTTCTGCCAAACACAAGCCTCCAGGCCTTGCAAACTGTTATCTAAAACATCCCCCCAAACCTAATCTTCTATAGTTGGAAAGCCAATTAGTAGTTTACCAATCATTATTTTTAAGTACACTGTGTCCCAAAGGCAACAAGATCATGTTTCACCGTTTGGACCTTGTTACTCCTACCAAAAACTATTTTCCTTTATTGTAAATGCTGTTCTCTTGGTAATACAAGTCTATTTTAAGATCTCATGTTTATCCTTGCTGGCAAACGCACACAAGTATTACATTCTAAGGCATGATTCTTGGCTGTTTTCATTTGCAAAAAGCAAAACTGAGACATAAAAACTCTCAATACCTCTGATAAACTTGAAGAAGGCTTTCATACAATCTGTAAACCTGTTACTTTAAATATGTAACAAGGATATGGACACTTGCCTTCACCACACGTCAGAATGAAAATGAATTTCTCTTCCACAAAAGTCTAATTTTATAAATACTTTCTCCAAGGAAGGAACACCTGGGAAACCATTCCTAGGAACTACACATGGTATAGTGCTGGGGGGGAAACACTCCAGATCCCTATGTTGAAGTTTATAATCTCAGTTTTAAATACCCACTAAACAGAAATCTGTTTTAGAATCTGAAGAACTATTAAATTATTTCCGTAAACACAAGAAGAACTTCTTAAAATATGGCACTCCTTCCTCCCCACGAACTCAGTGGGCTGGGGCAAGAAGCAGTCCCTGGTATTATAAGCCTCAGCAGTCATTTTGGATTCCTAAGTAGTAGTTGCAAGGTGATACATTTCACTGCAATTCAGGTCATAAAACAAAACAGTCTCCATTTTTGGACACTCTGACCAGTATGAGTAATAACTGATACGGCACAGAATATTTAAACCTATGGTGTTGCCTTATTCAGAGCCCAATGCTGCCTAACCCAACTGGCAGTCTCCAAAGTCTCTCTCAGCTCTGGTGCTAGAGATCACTTTTTAAAATGGGGATTGTGGGGACTGGATCTGGGACCTGCAGCACACAGAGCCTGCATTTCAGGTCCTTCAAGCTACATTTTTAATCTCTTAAACAGGGCTAGACGAGGGTCAGAACAAACATGACAGCAATATAGTTGTGCCTGAGCAGCAGTCAGAATAAAGATATATAGCACAAGTTAAAGCCCCTTTAAATCCTGCTGAGCCCATGTTACAGCATAACTGTCACACGACTGAAAAATTGTATTTCATGTTAGAAATCATTGTTCAATGTAACTCTGGTTTCCATTTGTGCGCTGACATCATTATGATTAATGTGGCTCAAAGCAGAAGATGCTACTTTAAATAGGGAAGCTACAAAAGACACTTCTTTCAACAAGCCACAACGTGCCCTTAAAAAAAAATAATGGTTATTTTCCTGCCAAACGCAAGATTTGATTCCCTCCCCCTCAAAGGTACATTAGTGCAAGAGTAAACTCCTATCCACTGTTATGAGTTCTGTGTAGGCTTGAGATAGTGGAAAATATCAAGAACAGCCACGCAGTTTAACACACAGGATGCCACACAGCAGCCATTAATGTTGCATTACACCACGCACTTAACGTTTACGCTCTTTCTACTTTCTGGGTGAACACATGACCCATTACTGGAATGCAAACAAATCTTCAGAAACCCTACATTTCTAGTCCATCTCTATAGAGGGGGAAAAGGGGGAGAGATTAGGAAAAACCATACCCGCTCCTCCCCTACCCGTTCGCTTCTTCCCATCGATTGTGTTATTTCTAGTGCACCTTTCTCACAGGGACTCAAGGCAGATTACACTTCTTTCAGCTTTTCCAAGAAAAAAAAGAAATGCAAGTGTCAGCGAGCAATTAAAAGAAATAGTTTCTTGGGTGGAATGAGTGAACCAATGTTAAGATAAGGCTTTAGTTACTCAGAATACTTCATAAGAATTTTGTAGTATGAAAATTTTTCTGTAGGGCTGAGACAGTCAATTGATCCATTTGTGCATGGATATTATCATAAAATTAACATGGAAACAAGAAAACTCTTTGGCTGAATTAAAGCAACAAACTAACCTCTGAAAATTACAGTACTGTGTGGCAGGTAATATCCTACAATACACATTTATCATAGGACCAAGGCAGAAGTAGATCAGAACTTCAGTTTTTTAAAAAAAATGTCAGGTCCACTGTTAAAACTTTGTATTCCCAAGCTAATAATTACTCAGTGTTAGTTAAAAGGTTTGTTTTTAAAATAATCTAGCAATTCTAGATATGATTTGATAAATTAGTAAAAAGTTATGTGCCACACTGGCATAGATCAGAGCAAGCAAAAGCAAATAGGTATACGCTATATTCCTACTGTGTCTAAATTGGATGTAAGAATGAATTTAAATTTCTAAGATTCTTAGCCAGGTCCTTTGTGGAAAAAAGGGGAAAGACAGTAGTTTCACTGAATTCCAGATCTGAAAAATGGATATGTCAAAGTGGGCCTGCTCATGTATAAAAGATCACACTTCTACTGAATCATCTGACTTCTCACCATCCAAGTTATGACACCCATCTGAATATGCAGATAAGACTTACGTTTAACTCAGTTAACTATTTGCATTGTTTTGGATTTATTTTGGCAGAAAGCTATCTACTTATGCTGCTAGCTAAGTCTCTTTTCTCCCATAGTCATTATCTCTGTGCAGGAACTGTAAGAAAATGCCTGCTTGTCACAGGAAGTCAGAAGTAGCTTCTATGAATCATTGCAATTTCAGTCCTACTTATGCTATCTTAATGAAATTAAACCTATGAAAAGCACATATATTCTATATATCATACTTGGGTGACACTAAATTCTACAAGTCTAGCATGAGATAATAACGTTTAACTATTTGTCCACAATTAATATGACATACTCTACAGATGGTAATACACTACTGAAGAGGTCAATTTTTCCAAGATGATTAAATTTAACATAATATCCAACTCTGCTGATGGACCTTAATACTGCCCTTGTACAAAGACTATTACTAAAACTTACCTTATTCCAAAATGTAGAGTTTTATTCACAATTTTATTTCTACTTTTCTAAAGGCAAAAATGAAGATCTATTCTTAGGCAGCATAGTAGCACCCTCACTATCTGAATCCACCATCTTAAGTGTGCATCAAAAGCATTGTTTGTATATATAACTCGTATTATCTCAGTATAAAGAGATGAAGTGAATGCAAAACTCATTTCCTGCTTCTTTTAAAGAGAGTATGAAATGGATTTTCAAGGGTATTAATTACACTTGTAAAGAATGAAACTGCATGTCGTACACAAATTTCTCTGCAATGTAGGTGAAATTCAACATCTGTCATACGCGTTGCTGCTTGCATGATGGTCAGGTAGCAAACAGGACAGAAAGATTTCTATAAAGTTTTATGATCCATGTAACCACACATTTATCTGCAAAGCTTCAACATTTCTATTAGTCATATGGTAAGATGCTTAAGGCCAGGTAGAAAGTATTTCTGAGTGGGAACCTGGGACATATTGGGTTGCAATGGTTCAGAAAGAGTAATAGCTGTTGCCAATGTAGGTTAAGTCTAGTGGTATGAGAAAAGAGCCCCTGTGACGTTTGCTTCTGGTCACATCCTGTGATGGAGCATCAGTACTTTGTTTGAGCAAGATTGTTGTATAATTTGCCCTCCAACCAAACCTTGGCTATAGATCAGCCTTTAGTCCACAAGTAACCTATATTTCAAGCAGTATTCACTAATCTAGAATTATATACTATGCATTTTTATGCTATTTCAAGACTAAAGGAAGAGTAAAGGAACGGATTTTCCATTTACATCAAAAGAAATGCAACCCAAATCCTAAACCATGCATTTTAGCCGCCCTGAGCCGCTTCGGCGGGAGGGCGGGATAAAAATCAAATAAATAAATAAATAAATAAATAAATAATCTTCAATTGCAAAGTGGATAGACTCTATACTTTAAAAAATTATACACGGTAATCTGAACACAGATTATATTATATTAAATCAGGTATGGTTTCCCATTCTTTCTGAATATTTTTATTCTAATCTCTTTAGTTTTCTTGCCTGCACAAAATGCAAAACATTTCGCTGTTATTCCATGTGGCGCTAACTGCTAAAATCTTGAAGGAAAACAGATGGATAGACTTTTTTTCTTTTGCCCAAAAGGAAATCATTTGATCGATCACCTAGGGATATATATAATCACATTTTCACAGTCTATGTTCAGCCATGAACACTGACCTTTCAAACTACCATATTTAGAACCTAAATACTTATTTAAATAGCACATGTTGCAGCTTAAAGAAACTCTGAAAAGCAGACTGACGTGCTTCAGGTGACTAACTGAAATCAGGACGGCTACGCCCACGACAGCAGTTTAGACTTTTCATAACACCTGAAATCACCGTATATGGCTTTGGCAAATAAACAAAATACAAAATTTCTATGATTGTTCTAGACATTTATTTATTTCCTTCATTTACCGTCTGCCTTTCTCACCAAGACTGAATGTACATTACAGAGTGAAAAGCAGGGCAAAATGGGTCAATTTTTTCTTGCTTGTATTAATACTGTCTTGAATTTCCAAGCTTGTACTCTCTCCCAAGTGCTCCTGAAGTTCAAGGCTTCTCTGCCCATTCATGCACCACAGACATGACGGTCTTCTCAAATTATTCGGTGTCTGGGTAGGATGGGGAATTGGAAGCAGGTGTGCTGAGTCTCCCTGCTCTGTCCCCCAACATGTCTATTAGAATCTCTGGGATCAGTCGCACAACAAACTGTTGCTCCCACAGTTAAGAAATGATAGAATGCAGTGCTTGACATGTGGGCTTTGTACAAATATCCATGTATGGTAATGGTTTTCTCCAAACAAAACGAGAAAGGATATTTGGGACTTGATTCCTAGCCACGGAGCAGCAATCCAGGAGATTCCAGAGATGAGCCTTGTCATGTTCTCAATCACATTGAGTGAGTTGCTGAAAACATTCTTTCAGAAATCCAACACTCTTAGATCAAAATGTTCCCTACCAGTTACAATAAAGTTTTATATAACCTTCAGCCCCATTCCGTACAAGTATCCTAAAAAGACATGAACTATAGACTTAAATGCTAGCATTTATTTGGCCTAAAGTGATGAAATAAATAGAAAGGAATCCTACCTTGGCAAAAAAGACCGTGAGATGAGTTTCACTGCCAAGTATCCAAATAGGGAATTTGGGGGACTTCAAATAGGAACCAACCTTTTAAAAAAGTAAGAATTATTCACCAATTTTATAGTGGAATATAACCCTGAGTCCCAAGATAAACTGGACTGTAAGTATTCTGCACTTGTGCAACCTCAAATTTGAAATACACTTGTACCACAACTGGAAAGATAAGTAGAAGAATACGTGACAAATCTATATTAAAGGTGTATTTTACATTCCAATTTCAGGGAGCAATCCTAAGGTTTACTTACGAATAAGTTCCATTTTACTCAATGGAGCTTACTCTTAGGAAAGTGTTCCTAGGACTGCATCCTTAGCTTGTAGTTGTGGACAAGTTGCTGCAAAGGCTAAAGGGGGACAATGACATAGGTACGAAAACTAAAAGCCATGTAGGACAGAGCATCTCCTCCTTCCACTGTTTCCCTGGCTACTTTGTCCTGATCCTCTCAGTTTTCTCAGACATAGCCCATGTGATTTCAAGGCTTTCTCCAAATTTGTAACCATCACTACAGTTAACACATTGCTTTTTAAAAACAAATTTTGATTCTTGGGATTAATGTCAAAGCTCCGTTATTATCGAGAGCTAAGGAGAGCATGCATATTAGACTCATTCTGCAGTTACTCCATTTGGGGTCCATCAGTTATGGGATTAACTTCAAGGTCCTGGCTATCACATACAAAACCCTTTGTGGCCCTGGACCCTCATATCTGCAGGATCACCTCTTCTCCTGTACTCTACCACAACAACTTGGCTCATGTGAGCAAGTCCTTCTGGCCATGTCACCCTGCAAATGGGTAAGATCAACAACTGCCCTTATGCATGCATTCCCTGTTGTGGCCCCGACCTTATGTAATTGCCTGCCCAAAAACGTCAAGAAGGCTCTCACTCTCCTGGTATTCTGCAAACTATGCAAAACTGAATTATTTAGGAGGGCATTCTTACAAAGGTAATAGAGCTATATTATAATGAATGGTTCAGGAAGGTGCTTTTATGACGGGACCAGGACCATGTATAGTAGGTATTACCTGTGTGTTGTATATACTAGCCTGTTCTCACTGCACTGTTTTCTGTTTACATAAACCCCGTCTCCATTTTTAGCACATCATGTTGTAGTACTTTGTGCTTTGGTTCAGATATCTGTAATCCTAGCCTTACTACATTCCATTGCTTATTGGATGCCTCATCCTAATGACTAGATTGACTTAACACTGTGTAATTCCCCTTGAGTCAGAGGGAGAAAGGCGGCCTATGAAGTAAATAAATAAATAATCCCTCATCACATTTCATATTTGCATGATAACCACAAATATGCAGCTCAGGAGGTAGCAATATCTGCTACTTTGTTTAATGTCAATTCCATAGCATATTATTCTTTTAATGGATTCAATAGATCCATCTTAAAAGACTGTAGAATGGCTGCACTGCAGAAAGAAAAAGTCTTGAAGTAAAAAGACTGAATTGCAGGAGGAAAAAACCTGTTGTACTAGATTAAAGCAACAACCAACAACAAAACCTTGCAGAAATGCAAATGCCCAGCCCTCAGGGTCCCAATGACCATTACATTCAGAACCAAATGATGACAGATTCGTAACTCTGCCTAGTTCCCAAACTTTGTGTCTGCCATATAAGGAAAATAATCCAGATTTCGCCACTAAACCTGAAAGGTAGCAACACGTCCAGCACAACATATGTTTATTATCATCACTAGTAGACATGACATCACTGTGCACATGGTCTCCGTGAGGTATCACGGGATGTAGTGGCTGTGATATTTCCATTATTAAAACACAAGACATTTTCCAGGCCGTACCACAGTCCCCATGGACACTACTGCTGTGCTTCAAAGTAACATCAAGTCTCTGCCCAACTAATTTGGCTCAAAGAAAATGACATATACAACCAGCCTTTCAACAAATCTGTCAATACAGTATTTTAATTCAGTGTGATGGTTGCCTTGATCGTCTCTTGATAGCCAAAGGGGAAAAAAGGCATCTGATTAAAGAGTGGCAAAAGCCAATTGCAATTCTTCACAAAACATAATCTGAAAGGACTGTTATTTCAGCTATAGTGGGCACATTTCAACCCACTGGGGATGCAGTGCCTACGTGGAAAGTACATGGGCTTCTTGAGAGCCGATCAGAGGATTATGTACACACTCCATATCCAATCCTTTCCTCATGCTGGTTCAAGTTTTTGATATATCAGAGCCCAAGTAACTTGTACTAAGGCAAGAAACTAGATTGATTGGGATAAAGAAAAGGGTGGAGCATACCACATGCTGCACTTATGACCAATGTTCCCTCTAAGCCGTGGAGTCTTGTGAGCAAAAATTCCACTTTGTGAGCGACTGGCATCAAAGTTGTGAGCGAGCGACTTGGCTTCTGCATAAATTAGGTTACTCTGGAGCCCTCCTTCCTGAGCGAAGGCAAAAATGTGTGAGCCGGAGGCTAAGAAACTGTGAGCTAGCTCACACTGACTCAGCTTAGAAAGAACACTGCTTATGACCATTCTCCAAAGTTGCAGCTCAAATACCATATTTTCAAAGAAATATACTACACAATTCTAACATCATCCATAATTTTCCTTACCTTACAGTACCTTAGAGATTCCATAAGTGTCAAGAACCCAACTGTTGCTTGCTTATGTATTCCAAGCAGTTCTGTATAGGAACAAAAACTCTGTATTAGAACTGTCCAAGTTTGACTCCTATTCTGTTTACTTCCTTCAAACCAACCATGACACTTCAGTCTAGAAAGCATTCTGCTTAAAGCAAGCAAAAGAAAAAAATGCTAAGCTTTTAAAAACAAACATACAAAGCCAAGAACTAAAAATCACTTCCAAAATGGCATTTTTCTTCCAAAATCCAGTTTGACCTCTGCACTGAACATAAAGTCAACAGGAGCTATTGGTGGTTGCAGGAAGTTGGCTTACTGAAAGTCCCTTCTGAGAAAAATTGTACATAGGGCTAAAGTAAATTCTTTTGAACTCAGGAACACACCATAAACTTATCAGAGCAACCAGAGCTGTCAAAATGTGCCTATTTAATTCCATGCAATAAAATGTCTGCAAGCAGAGCAGTCATGCATTTTTCTATTCTCATGTGCAAGGAACCAATTTTTTTTCATTCTGCAAGAGCATCATATTTAATGGTCCTCACAAATAATGCACACATGAGAGTGGAGGAGGAAAAGTGGCACCGTTCACTGTAACAAGAACGGCATATTAACCTGTGGAACAACAGGAACAGAACCCAAAAAGTAGCTTCTAGGTGAATGTTGCTGACTTGCCACCTACAGGTAGAGACTGAAGCTTATAGGAAGAATTCTGAACTGTTAGTAACCCCCCCCCCCCAATAGGCTGTGTAATTAATTCAGCCCATAGCAATAGCAGGGATGGGATGTTGCCCCTCAGTGAGATGTAACAAAAAACTATATGGTCTGTGCACCTGGGAAGGACATCCATGAAAATCTTATTCATACTCCTTAGTCTTTTCTTCCTATTAGGGTTAGTTTGCAGCTATCCCTTCTCATTGTTGCCCTAAAAACTAGTGGCTTTCCCAGACATATCATCCCTTTATTTTTTTCATTTCTGCCTCCTAACCCCCTGTTAAAATCTGCTATTCCTGAACATGTGCAAAGAACCAAAGTTATATGGACAAGGTGTTCAGTAAGTCCACCATATGGATGTGAGGCGATCTGGCTGTGACATCTGTTACCCCACTGATTACCAGGGTTGATCTGGCTGGGTGTCCCCTTGTACAGGGATTAGCCCACTCATGCCAGTCCAGGAATGAGAGGGAATCCTCTACTTTTCAATACATTAAACAACAAACCACAAGATGGTCTATACCCTCTCGGGTTTTCAGAACAATGTGCCACCAGAACCTCTTTTCACTAGTCCCTCCCTTTCCTAAGGGAGAGATTCCAACCCTTAGTTAGCATCTGGGATTTAACACAATAGCAACTCTATCCAGAGGTGCACACTCTTACCAAGGTAGCATATGTGGTCAGGGTTAGGCACCAGGGTTAGACTTGGAATTCAGTTACAACATCAAAGACATATTTATTCAGTACAGAGCTTAGCATAGACTACCAGAGATTACAAAAATAACAAAGGCTAGGGCAATTTGCCTTAACTGCACATTGAAGATACATAGTTACCACATCAGGAAAATCCACAGTCCAGAATAGTCCAAGGGATTTTGAAGGGAAATCCCATTTTTGCTCCAAGTCACAAAGCAACTCTTTGTCTCTCAAGAGGCAGCATTTCAGGTGCCATAAAACAGATAATAACAAGAGGAGGAAGGGAGAGCTAAGAGCTAGAGAGCAAGAGAGACTCACTCCCATAGGGATCAAAACAATTATACTCCAATTCCAGTCACAAATTAGCTGTGGCCATCAGCCAATTGCGAGTGGGCATGGGTGTGCCCAATTGTTGGTTGCCATAGCTGCAACACAGGAATGGCTAGAAGTTTGGAGCCCCTCCTGCAGTCCAGTGACCCAAACTCCACAGCTTCTTCATTGCCTACATGACAACACTCATGTGAGGCCTAGTGTGGAGCCTTACAGTCTAGCTTTTAGCATGGAAGCGTGAAGAATGTGGGTTATAAAGTTGTTCAGGCCATCTGACCCACCATTTGGCTTGCAACAGGAAATAAGGCACAGCATGTTTCAGAAAGACATCACAGGAGAAGGCAGGAGACTTTTAGAAATCAATATTTCTATACACCCCTACCTCCCTCACCACTCCATGTGCATCCCTCCCAAAGCTGCACGCTTGGTCGAAGAGGACGACCATCCCAGATATGAGTGTACTGGGGTGTACTGTTCTTTGGTTAAGTCCACCATACAGCTATGACACTATGCTAACTGTGCTGAACACAACGGAAGCAAGCCTAAGGAGTGCCCTCCATCCCCCTAAAGGAAAAGAACTCTCTTCTAACTGTGGTTAAGCAAATTGTTGATACAGACATTAACTGTAGTTCAGGCTAGCCAAGTTTTCTCTTGCACAGGTATCTGAACCCCACTTCAAACTGTGGTTTCAGATCCTGGTTTCAAAGAAGAAACCCTAATGAGTTTTAACTGTGCTCAGTGCTAACAAACTGCTTAAGGGAAGGGGGGGGTAAGGGAGGGAGTGCTCACAACCATTTTTTTAAACAATATTGTAAACTTACTCATGTGACTTGGCAAGTGTCAGTCTCTTGTTGAACCTTGACTACTATCTGTACAAAGCAGCTACGTATGCTTAATTAGCACGCCAGTACAGCAGCCCAGAATAGGGTTTTGGTGTGCTAATTAAGCACATGTAGCTGCTCTGCACACATACTGAGGCCCAGTTTTACACAAGATGCTGGTTGTGTGCACGGTGGCAATGAAAGGCCTCGCCCAGGCTTCACTAGGGGTTTGCTTTTGCCTCACTAATCAAAGAGCCAGCTTTACAACACCTGCAATGTCTCAGTTTATGTTAGAAAAAAACTATACTTAACAGCCGTGTGTGTGTGTGTGTGTGTGTGTGTGTATGTATAAGGAAGCCCTGATAATTATTTTTAAAAATGGATGCTCTGGAAGAGTAAACATGCATCTGGAATCCCACATGGGTAGGGTCAGAGAAACAGCTGGGGGGATGTTGTAGTAGAAAATGTATTGAGCAGTTTATTGAGCAGTTTTTATTCTACCCTAAATAGGCCTCTCCTGAAGCTTACTTTCTATTACATAAAAGAAAAAGAGAAAAAGGCAGCCTCTGGTAATTACACAAATCTGCAAGTAATATTCAGTTTGGTCTCCAGCCACTTTGTATGGTTGAAAATATATCTTTATCTGAGGAGACAATGTTGTCATTAACTGTGTGCTGAATTCCCCCCCCCCCCCCCCCCCTTTCCTCTTCCGAATTCCTTCTAGGAAGACAAAACCATTCACATTATTATATTTACAAGTTAGTTCATCCTACTCTTTTAATTCACTCATAACCAAATGGCTATATAAGGCAATATTCTGAAAAGAGAAACTCTTGAGGGGACCAACATGTAAAAAACCAGTGCCATATTACAGGTATGTCCAACAGGTAGATCGCGATCTACCAGTAGATCGCGGAGAGGTCAGAGGTAGATCACCAGCCCCACTTGGTCTCACTAATGAGCAAGAGCGAAGTTTTAAAGATTGCGCAAGATCAGCCTGGATCAATACTTGACCTACATTTAACACAAATAACTCTGAATAAAAGTTAAAGACGGTTATTGAGACAGTTAAAGTTATAACTCAATAAAAAATGTTCACAGTTCTGGATCTTCGTCTCTCTGGGGTTTTTTTGCTTATTTTGCTTACCAGTAAACGACAGAAGGGGCATTATAAATGGGGCAGGGCGGTGGAACCCAACTTTAGCGGGTTAAAATCTAATTTGAAACTAATTTGAAACTTTATTTTCATGGTGGTAGATCACCGGCACTTTTGGACATGCCTGCCATATTATATTAGTGTAGTAAATAGTTTGTGTTCATTTAGGCCTATATCTAAGGCTAGATTCTGACAAGTTTCTCTCATTCACATTGTCACACAAGTGTGATTACATGTAACTACTATCAGCTTTCTTATCACAGCATTCAAACGCTGATCAGTGGGAGGCAATGAGAGATGTTACAAGCCTACGCCATGTGAAACAGGCACACGAACTTGTAAAACAGATTCCACCACTACTAAATGGCTTTCAAGACACTAGTTTTCCCCCTTCTGAGTTTTCCAGCAGCAGCAAGTATTTTTTCCTTAGGCCCTACTGCCATCTTGTGGTGAATCAAAGAACATAAAACTTCACTTGAAAGTAAGCGCAGCAGTGAATGTGATATAATCGTCAAAGCCACAACCAAACATCATCATTCCTTGTGCTGTACTCTACCTACAAAATGGCTAAGGGTTTTTTTTATAAAACAGAATTTCCACCACTCAGTGTTCCACAGAATTACTTCACTCATTATACGCATGCTTATGCGAAGAACACACCTATGCTTTATGGGTGGAAGTGATCTGGCAATTTGCAGTGTGATGCTCCCTGCCTGTGGTTCCTCTCTTCTTAGCTCCCCCATCTTAAAAAAAATGTAGCCACAGCAAACCAGTATGGCCATGTCCATGATGTAAAAACAGAAACAGATGTTAGTTTTGTAAAATATGGGCATGTATTTGTAGCAGGCTTCAACACTGCTACAACCAGTCAGGAAAAAGTGAATTGAAGTAATCCAGATGTTCCCGAAACCATCCATTATTTCATATCCCCACAGAATTATCAGCAAGCTAAATTTATCCTATTTTTGAGACTGCGTGTCATTTGTGAGAGGACTGAACGGCTGATTTGTATTCAATACAAGCAAATATTACTTTATTCTAAAACTATGACTCCCCAGTGTTAATGAGGGAGGAAAATTAACAGAGGAAATTACAAGTAAAAGATAGCCATATTATATTAAAATGATTAGCCTGGATTCATGAGGTCATGGGGGTATACTGATTTCCCTTTCTAGTGGCAGTGCTTTACACCTAATGACTTATTGCTCTGGAGGACACCCTTTCTCCAATAGACTGGTGGAAAGAGGAGAAAAGGAGGTTCTGCAGCCAGACTAAGAATGAAAAAAACCCCAAAAACCCCTCGTGTGTGCGAAGTGCATCCTGCATGTCCCTCTGCATCTTGACCTCTATAAATAAAAGCAAAGTATACAAGGCAGAAATAGCAAGTAGATTTTGAATGTACATGAGGGTTTAAAATGGAAGGTATCCTGGATGTCAGTGAACAGGGACTGTAATGTAAACTCAATAATTCCACGGCTCTTTTAATAATTTTGTTCAACTGGCCCCCTACGATGGTAACAATGTTGAGAGAGGTGTCCTTCACATCCAGCCACCCTTAACTGTGTAGGAACCAAGCCTCTCCTCAGAATTCTGAAGCAATGCTTTGCGCGGATATTTAATAATGTGTCAGCCAGCAAAGCAGAACCTAGTAAAGAACCTGCAGACATTTTTTTGCTGCCAATAAGGATGATAGCCAGAGTGTAATGGTGTACAAAGACAATATCCAGGAAAAAGAAATAAGGACATGCATTCCTATAATCATTTAGACATCTGAAGGGAGACAACTATTTAGAATACAATCACATTTCTGCCATAGAATAACCAGATAATCAATGATAAACTTACTCATTCCTGAGCATTCCCTGTCTCCATCCCAGACGTTTGAAACTGCATGGCCCGTTAACAGGAGGTTAATTAAGCTTTGGCTAAATGAAGAAAACAGGTATTTATGTTTGCAAGTAAGGTATGTTTTCTGAGCAAGTTAATTCAGAGTGGTACTAAAATTGTAGTAGTACTACCATTAGTATAAGTGTTTATAAGATATAGTAAGCTGAACATGAATGTTGTTCACATGGTCAGGGCATCCAGTGCAGGTTAGTAGGTTTAAGAAGAGGCCTTAAACATAATCGGAGTACAAGGTAACAGAGATCTGGCAAGACAACCCAGGATGACAAGAAAATAAAGATCATTTGCTATCAATTTTTTTTTTAACTATTTCTTAAAGACATGCCATTTGTTCAGTTGCCTTGTCATTTAAGGTAAGTACAAGATCACACAAAACATACCTTCCATGACCATAAATAGGATCTATCAGTGGTTCCGTTGAATCTTCAATTTCATTTTTTATGTTTTCAATACCCTATAAAATACGAATATTTACTGAATATTGACCACGTTCCTGCTAAAAATACTTTCCCACGAAATAAAAGTGTACTATGATCCCTGTTAAAGACAGGGAACACCCACTACTTAATTTCTGCCATAGATGATCATCAGAAAGAAATGTTAGCTATTTCCTTCCTTACACTTTTTGATGAATTTCAGCTATTGTATCATCACCAACCAAGCCTATCTAGTAGTCAAGATCATGTAAAATCACTCTGCAAAACACAAGCAGAGACATTTCAGCAGAGCTACGGGTTCCAATGACAGCAAAAGGGAGTACAATATAGAGTTTTGGGGGGAAACAGATTTGCTGCAGGATGGGAGGACAGGAAGAGCCAGACAAAAGGAGACTAGAAATCGGCATGGAAGGGGAGAAACTTAGATTATTCTTGCTTCAGCATGGAATGACGCACTGAATATTTATAGTGAATAAGCCCACTCCCACAGGGAAGATCAGTTTCTACCCCCGCTCACAGCTTTAAGCTCTTTTCGGCTCTTCCAGCAACTGCCACTATCACCAAGTGCAGGAAAGGGTGAAACAGGCCAGCAAAAGCATTGCACATGGGAGGGGGACCAGCAGCAGTTGGGCAGGCAGAGGCTGCCTGGCCTCAGGCTTGCCTGGTTTCGCTTGTTATCACTGCAGCCTCTCTTAGTGGCTCTTTTTCCTGCCATACCTTCTTAGCTGCTGGCTAGCCGCCTGTCTCCTGACTCTCTCCCCTGCTCTTCTGACCCCACACGCTGCTCTTAACACCTTGATCCTCTGCATCATCCTGCCACCCAGCAGGCACTCACACAGGCTCCAAATATGACCATTTCACCCTCATTCATCTTGCTGAAATCCCTGTTTCTTTCACTGTGTCCCACCCCACAGGAACATGTATAAACAATGACAAATCTAGCTGTGGTGAAAGGGCTTGGGGGCAGGGGCAGTGAGCCCTTTCACCTGTAGATGGCCCATGAGTTCAGGATACTCGCTTTGTCCTTCCTGATGTTCCTACCAGTGCCAGTTGTGCCTCTGGCTGTGCGCTCAGTGCAGGGACTTAGTTATAATTCAGGTTTGCTCTGTGCTCTCCAGCCAACCCCAGTCACAGGTTTGCTCTGTGCTCTCCAGTCTCTGAGGTCCAACCCCATAGGGACTGAGTCTAGCTTTATTAAGCTGAAGCAGGAAGCTATCCAAATGAGGGACCAGACTGCACAAAGAGTGGCTGTGTAACTGACCAATGCAGGATGTAGCAATGGCCACCAGTTTAGACAAATCCATGGCAAACAGGGGTTAGTTAACCCTGCTGAATGATAGTTTTAATGTGCCTTCCCAATAGAATGAAAGGCTTTCCTCTTCCCCCTCATTAACACCATTAGCATAGAGTCCAATCTGTAAAGGATGTGTTTATTGTACTTTACAGTTAAGTGGTAGAAAATTATAGTTCGCTACCAAAGCCCAGTCAAATTTTCTGGACTACAGCTAGCAGCACTTTTGCCTGTACTGTAAAGGTATCCAATTGCTGAATACCAATAATAAAGTCAAACTAAAGCCACAAGAAGAGGATTAGAGGAATGATGTAATTCAGGGTGGATGGAGTTGTACTTGCTTCATTCACACCATGAACATCCTCTCACATATTATGCATTACACATGCATCATTGCCCTCCTTCTCAAACCACATAAGAACCTCAACATAAAATAGTCCTATGACTCAATGCCTACAACAGTAGTTGAGGCAAACGCCACATTTCCACACAAAAGGAAGCTAGCAAGATAAGCTCTAACAAAGTATTTATTTTCTGAAATTTACCTTATCATTTCAAGAAGAAAAGAATCAAATAGACCCAGAACCACAATTTTAAACAATATGTATTTATGTTCAAGGCTTAGTACACTACAATTAATACAGAGATTTTAAAGATTTGAAAACTAAACTTTCATTTCACATTTCCAGACATTCACTTATAACATACACTTGATTTTAACAAACCTTTGCCAGTATCACAGAATACAGAAAAAGCAATACTCCAAATTTGTTTGTCCAGACTGAATAATGATTCCAAACTGCATCTTTGAAATCAGGAAAACTTGAGAATGATTGCTTGCTGAAGATTAAAAAGAGGAGGCAATTAGTTTGCTGCAGTTTGACAGTAACTACAAAGTTTAACTTGGTATCTAATAACTGACTAAAACCAAAATGAAGAATGCTGAGGGCATGCAGGAATATCTGCAGTTAATGTACTTGCAACACATTTATTAGCAACTGACTACTGGAGAAAAACAGGGGTTACAGCACGTACACATTACTACTGTTATCAATGCACCAATGCAAGTAAAAATTTAAGTATTGCGATGCCTTGCCTGCAAAGTTTTTACGTGATGTTCATAGTGAAAACTGATAGCTCTTATCTGCATGACCAATATCTCTCAATGGCTATTCTAAGTTTTGCATTCACTGGTAAAAGACCCAGCAAAAGCTCTGAGCAACTAAACAAAGTTAATAAAAGACAAGGAATACCAGAATTTTGGCTCCAGATTGGAGAACCACAAGCGCAGAAGGAAAGTCACATATTCCTGTGCTTAGACAACACCCCACATACCTAATTTGACAGTATGTGCACAGGTGCCCTTTCCTTACTGTTTCTAACAGATGAATGGTGCTATGAGGCTTCATTCAGAAGCTTCTTGTACTAAAGACGCAACTAGAAATTGGAAGTTATGCACCATGAAGTCAGATACGAGAATGGAAATGTTCTTCAGAACAATTTTATCTTGCTCATGATTGAGTGAGCACCTCACTTGATTAAATATATTTCCCCCCTAAGTATTATGGCTCAGAGACAAATATCCCTTTCAGGACTACTTTAATAGCTCAGCTATAAATCTGCTAACTAGTGCTGGTACTATATGAGGAACAAAGGCTGTATTATGACTGCCACAAAAATCAAGTTAAGAGTACAGATTGTCACATTTTGGGTACAGATTGTCACATTAAAACAATGGCTCTAGAAGAAAGTTTGAGTCCAGCAACACCTTTAAGACCAACAAAACTTAATTCTGGGTATAAGCTTTCGTGTGCATGCACACTTCATCAGAAGCATGCACACAAAAGCTTATAACTTGATTAAAACTTTGTTGGTCTTAAAGGTGCCACTGGACTCAATCTTTGTTCTGTTGCTTCAGACCAACACAGCTACCCATCTGAATCTTGTTAGAGTCTAATTAGAGGTAGATTTTAAACTTGAATTAACATGACTTTTAAGATAACTGAGTTGGGCTTCTAACTTCAAAAAGTTGTTTGTTGCATATAGTGTATTTTTAGTGTTCCAACATGTTACTTACTGAATTAATGCATGAAATCGCTCAAAGCCAAGCTCTTCGACAGCCAAGGCAGCTATACACAAGAGACACTTTTCAGCACTACACATGGCAAAAAGTGACACAAGAAACACATAGCAAGCTAGAAAACTTTTGAAGCCTCGCATGTATTAACTCCACCCTACCCCACCCCTCTTCTGGGCAAGCCCACATATGCAGAGCTATGTGGCAGAAACTGGGTTAATGCAACTCATCTAGGACTCCACCATACAGTGAACTGGATCCATATGCAATCACTCAATACCAAAATATTGCCAAGACTAGTAAAACACTACAGTTCAATAGTCTTGAGAACTTTCAGCCATATATAAGTCACCAAGCATAAGCATACTGAACACATAGTTATGCTGATCAAGTAGATTTCTACTTGAGCATGGTTATCACGATCAGTTTCAAGCATAAGCAGTGTGAAAACACTATTTTCTGATTAGTTTAGTATCTAAATACTCTTTTTTGCAAAATAATGAATTAGAATAATTTGTTGTTTAAGACAACCCTTTGTCTTCCTTTAGTATTGATGTTCCTGCTTAAGCACATTAGGTAAACCAAGAACTAGGAAAAAATACAGCATTTAATACCTTTCCAGTTTCAACAAACTTTATATCACCCTTTCCTCATACCTTGAAAAAGTTAAAATAAGTAATTTTCCCCATGCACAACAAGTATCTGTACAGCAGCTACTGTTCTTCTAGAAACAAGCAAAATGGGCAATGCATAACTACTTGCTGATTATTCAGGTGAACAATGAGAAATGAAGCTTGTTGGCCTTTCATAAAAGTGTTTTAAGCCCAAAAGGTAAGCAATATGTACAAGAAACCAGCGGTTCAATTAACTTGAGTAAAAGTCTAACACTTAATGGAGGAAAGATTGAAAGCTGCAATTTCTATGCTTCAAGTTACACAAAGAGACGTCTCCTGAGATGTTAGTTTAACTTGGTTAAGTCTTCAGAGAGAAAACTTAACATTGAACTAAACGCCCATTAAAAACATGTTTTGGGACGCTGAAGGCATAAGAACTGTTAAATGAAGTTTTAGTACAGTACATATTTATTTTGGCAAAGTGAACAGGTGTGAACAGTAGACCTTAATAAAGGGTGCTCTGCATTTGTCTAGTGCCTGCAAATGAGCACTTTTATCAGTTGATGGTGAACACAAACATGAGGCAGATGAAACAAGCAGACTTCACAGTGGCAATAGGTGGGTCAGTTACTGCTGCCAATTTCATGATGACACTACTAAACCAAGTGGAATGTCAGAAACAATATGTTAAGAGGTGAATTATGGCCAGATGAACACAAACACTGTTGAAAGGAAGAGCCTGTGTGTGATACAGGAGGGTGTAAATTAAGATACAGTGGCCAGATTTGGCATCTGTCAAAAATATAAAAGAGAAAAACACGGACTTGAAATAAAAGTCAGATTTGGACAAAAACTACAATTGACTGCAGTCTCAACTTTGGCATTCTGCAGCTCCAATGTTTACAGCTCTAGTTAGTATCAGATTAAGGACCACAATTCCATATTTGCTGCATGTAAATTAACAAAAGTTTTCACTGACTCCATACCCTACATTTTTTCGATTTATTTTAAACATTGCTTATTTATTTTGTTGGGCTTCTAGCTCACCCTCTCCTGCGTAGCAGGCTCAGGGGAGGTTACAACATCTATACACCTTAAGCAGTCCTGATACTTCCATCCTCTTTCCACTTCCAAAAGTCACATAAAATATAAATCTGCACCTCATCACTTATGAAATATCAAGTACAAAAGACTCTAGACCCTGAGAGATGCACATATACCATGGTGGTAGTGGTTGTACCTCGCAGAGCTCTGCTCAGGGCTGCCCCCATTTCACTTTTGGAAGCACACAAGAGGACCAATAGAAGGTGGAAGTTGAAGTCTGCGTATAGCTTGAATCTGCATATGGCACCTTGGATCCCGGAGAGCCAATGTGGTGTAGTGGTTAAGAGTGTTGGATTAGTTTCTGGAAGACCCAGGTTCAAATCCTCACTTGAGCCAAGGGAACTCTCTGGTTGACCTCAGGCCAGTCACACTCTCAGCCTAACCTATCTCACAGGGTTGTTGTGAGGATCATTATTTAAGCCACTATGGGTCTCCACTGTGGAAAAAGGCAGGGTATGAATGAATGAAAAATACTTTAAGCCTCTGCTTTACTAATTGTGTATTCCATCTATTTTTCAATACACATGCCTTCCTTCCCATCAACTGTACAATGTGCTGTACAGGTTTCCAGGTTAGTATGCATTAAAGGACAAAAACAAAACCTTTGTGTTAAATATTGATATGCCTGAATGACAAAATGCATACAGATAACACAGCCCTTATCTAGCAGCAAGGATTTCCCTATGAACAGCTCCAGTCAGTACAGTTGTTTACTCTTATTCAGTGCAAAAAATGCTGCGTAGTAAAGTTCCATTGCATCCCATTTTATGTACTCAGAACTTCTACACTGCTTTCTTTGGGGTCATTCTATGTAACCAGGAACTTGCCATTAAGACTTATTTTACTGAATGTAAGTGCACAATGAAGAATACGCACATTCTAGATTCAACCTGGTCATTTCATATGAAATGGCAGCCACCTGAAAATACATACTTACAAGAAGAAGAGTTGGTTTTATACCCTGCCCTTCACTACCCGAAGGAGTCTTGGGAGCAGCTTACAATCACCTTCCCTTCCTCTCCCCACAACAGACACCCTGTGAGGTAGGTGGGGCTGAGAGAGCTGTGACAGACCCAAGGTCACCCAGCTGGCTTCATGTGGAGGAGTTGGGAATCAAACCTAGTTCTCCAGATTAGAGTCTGCTGCTATTAACCGCTACACCAAACTGGGAACCCACAAGTACCTTGCAGGACTGTGGGAGGCAGGAAGCTGCAACAGGCCAGGAGGGCAACTGCAGAGATGCCTGAACCTGCTCCAGGCCTGGGAAGCAGCAGTGCCAACAGTGGGGAGGGGGCAAGGAGCCACACTGGGCCAAGGGTGGCAGTGGGTACAAGGGGGGAGGCTAGACCGGACCCAGAAGGTGATGGTGGCAATACTGGGAACCGCACTAGGCCCAGTGGTGGCCGTAGTGAGGGGCAGGGAGCTGTGCCAGTCATGGAGGGTGATGGCGGCAATGCCAGGAGCTGCGCTGCACTCAGTGATGGTGGAGGGGGCAGGGAATTGTGCCAGTCCTGGAAGGTGACAAAAGCAATGTCAGGAGCCATGCTGGGCCTAGGGGCAACGACAGCAGAGCAGTTGCAACTTGACCCACCCTCACTGGCCAGCTGAAGTACTGCTGCTGGCTGCCAACAGCAGCTCCTCCTCACCACTACAGCAGAAAAAAAAAATTGTCTGCACGTGCACAGACAACACTCCTCCGTTTGGGGGGATTTACACTCCCCTCCACTTTGTCCAAGGTTTTAATTTTTTTCCTGCAAACCTGGGGAGTCTCCCAAGTTTGAAGAAAAATCTCCCTTCTGCTGACTGAAGTACCTGCAAATACTGTTAGAATATATGATAATACGGTTCAGTATATGAAGTACTATACTTTTCCTACTGGTCCAGTTTTGTAAGACTCTGAAAAGGTGTTGGTCCTTCAGTACTCCCTGTTATCTGGATCCTTTATAAAACTATAAGTATGCATTCCATTCAACATAAAATGATAAATCCTGCACTCTTAAGTCTGTGACACTATGTATACATTCTCAGAAGCAGTATCCACGCAGTTCAGCAAGACTTATTCCCAGTTATCCATGGCTATGAGGCAGCTGTACATGTAGGGCTACAGCTACAACACAGATGCAGCCAGGCGATTAAAAACAATAGTTATATGGTTCTTGTTATATCTTTTACAAAAAATACTTAATGACACTTGGAAAAAGAAGAAGAAGAGAATAAGAGATTGGATTTATACCCCGCCCTTCACTTGGAGTCTCAGAGCGGCTTACAAACTCCTTTCCCTTCCCCTCCACACAACAGACACCCTGTGAGGTGGGTGGGGCTGAGAGAACTCTGACACAAACTGCTCTTTTTCAAGGACAGCTGTGCCAGAGCTTGTGACTGACCCAAGGTCACATCAGCAGGTGCAAGTGGAGGAGTGGGGAATCAAACCTGGTTCTCCCAGATTAGAGTCCGCGCACTTAACCACTGCACCAAACTGGTTAATGGAATCAGCTTTTCTAGTACAAACTCACCACAAGCAGCTGCAAATTGAGAGTAAGAATATTTTGAACTGCACTGATGTTGTATTTGAGCAGGGGAAGGGTTTAATTGTTTAGGTCACAGAAATAAAAGTTGTATTTGTTCATTTGGAAGAAATGGTTTTGACAAGAATGTCCAACAGATTAACACTGATCACACGCAAAACAGTTTTTGCATTATCTTTCCTTGAAATGAACTACTGCCTGCAGAATGGGCCGGGCCGGGCTGCAGGTGAAGTCTGAAAGAAATGTTAACAGTCCCCATACTAATCACAAAGACATAGCAAAGTCAGCCAAAACAGCTCAAGTGTTACATGTTTCCTGCTGTCCCTATCTGGCCTCCCTCAATAAAATACATCTTTAATATTTTGTTTTCCAATGGAAGAGACTTTACTGACATATAGTTAATTAACCGACCAAATTGATTAAATCTGGCAAGAAAGAACTTTTTGGCTTTAGATGGGGCCCACAGGCAGTGTTCCCTCTAAGCCGAGTTAGTGTGAGCTAGCTCACAGTTTTTTAGCCTCTGGCTCACACATTTTTGTCTCAGCTCAGGAAGGATGGGGCTCCAGAGCAAACTAATTTATGCAGTAGCCAAATCGCTCGCTCACAACTTTAATGCCAGTAGCTCAAAAAGTAGAATTTTTGCTCACAAGACTCCACAGCTTAGAGGGAACATTGCCCACAGGACTGCTGTGACATCTCAGGCATTGCACGTGTGAGAGTGCCTCTGCTAAGATGGTGCTTGCCAACTTCAGGTTCTTCCAGATGTTATATTTTATGTATTGTTAATTAAAGCCTGACATGTTAGTAACCTAACCAATTAATGAACTAAATATCACAGGGCTAGTCTTCAAGAACCATGGCTTGCCTGGTATCATAAATGGGATGTAATACTAAGGTAAAGAGCATTCATCAACTTAAGATCTGTTTCAATAAAATGAGCACTAACTATACTGAACTGGAGCTTAATTTCTGAAGCACAACAAAACCTACCAGCCTCAGGAGGAGACAGAAGATTGCCCAAAGTACAATAAAAAGCAATATTCTTCATAAAGCACTTTGCAAAAATGTAAAGTGCTTCTTGGAATCATGCTAGAAAAGACAGCTTACAGGGCTGCTCCTCTTGTCGGCTCGCTTCAGCTGGGCTCTCAGAAATACTAGCAGTTTCTTCAGCTGTCTTTCCTCTTTGCCATGTTGCCAAACAGTATGATTCTGAATGATCAGAGCAAGCCAGTTCCAAAATATCACACAGTGTATGACAGAGGAGATTCTTCTGCTCTTCTTCTGAAATGTTCAAAGTTAGAACAGACAAAAGTTTTGACAGGGAAGGTATGCAAAACATCTAGCAATATTCAATATTGTTCCCTCCAACCCAGGATTTTCTGGTGGAACTCCTTGGAAGGTTTGAGGTTAGCTTAGGGGAATGGTGGAAAACTGGTATCCCTTTGGCCAATCCAACCATTTGAGAGGTTGTCAATCACAGTTGTCCACATGGAGGAGGACATTTTCTAGGACTGTGAGAAAGTAAGGTTCGAGTACTGAGAAACAGGTAGACAAGACAGCCGCTTTCTTCCTTCACCTAGGCTTCTTTTGCTCTGTTTTATACTTACTGACCCCTTTAATTTGTTACAGCAGGAAAAGGGGGGGATTATCTGCAACAAAATGAGCAAGAGACAAAATATCTGGGTGGGAAACAGGAGAAAAGAACCAAAAGGGTGAGAAGAAAGTCTAATGAGGGGCCAATATTAAAAACCTAGTTAAAACTTATAATATATAAAAATACAAGTATTTATTAGAAAGACAGTTAAAAATATACATAAGGGCACAATGAAAACCTTGTAAAAAAGTATAGCCTATTAATTCATTTTTGCCATTCCAATATATTTACTCCACTGCTCTATCATTCCTCATCTACTACTAACATCCTCATCCACTACTATCATCCATTATATAAAAAAAGGAAAAGAAAAAAAAAATACAATCACTGGTACAATATTTAGTTGGTCGATAAATTTTGGTCAGTTCCCTTTGATCTTATAAAATGAATTAATTGAATGGTTAGTAGAATGATGATGACTTAATGGGGAAAGGATTGGGTTTGGATGAAGTGCTAATCATGTGATAATTATGAGAAAAATTGAGAAAAGTGATTTAATGTATTTAATTATGAACACAAAAGTATTGGTGTTAGTGGATATAGGGGATTTATGTTATTGGATGTTTTGAATGGATGGGGTGATGATATTTGTTGGCTGAGGGTAAAAATTTTTCTAGTAATAATGTTTGATTTGTTGATGTTTCGTTTTTACAAAATTTATTTGTCTTAAAAGAGTCTGGTACTTTAGATGTAGAGTGAGCTAAGCTAAAGAAGCCTTGATTGTGTGTAATGGAAAAGATATCTTATAAGAAACCAGAATAATGTATATCCGAGTAGAAAATTAATGAAATGACATAGTGTCGAAAAGGTGGGGAAAATAGAAAATCATATATAAAAAAAATAAAAAAGAGAGGAAAAAGTATGCATAAAATTATAAATTAAAGCCCATATATGGATTCCAGAAAATTGTTTATGAGGTATGAGAGGGTATTTGTACAATTATGAAAGATACACAACGCAGATAAGAATTTGTGGAATGTAATATGGCTTGGAAAGATATGTTGGTCCAAAATGGAAAGAATGAAGGGGAAAAAGGGAAGATGTCAAAATGAAATGAAATCTTAAGAATCTGTTATTCTGTGTTGTTAAGAAAAGTACATGTTGTACAAGAAGTTTGTATATATGAAATCCATGTAAATCCATTTGCTATTGGCTTTCTAAATGAAATAAATTATAAACCGCGAAAAAGTATAGCCTAAACACAAGGGCCAATACACATGACCTGACGCGTTTCTGCCCTATCGGGGCCTTCTTCAGAGGCCAAACAATATTGAGGTACACATAACTTAAATGCATATTTCAATAAGATAACCAATAAAGTGAATATTGGACCAGGAAGAGGAAGGTTAAGCAGTAAAATCTAGAGACACATGACAGAGATGTTTGTGAGACCTCAAAAGGTGGAAGTCATGTGTCTGGTGCCAAATACACAGTTGCTGAATAAGAACATCTTCCAATTTAGGTCCAAAAACACATATGTGGCTATCAAAGTCAGAGCTAGAGTGCCCTCAAGCAAATAGCAGGAGATACATGAGATAGTTTTTGGCTGTAATTCAAGGACACTCCTACTAGCTTCTATAGAATGATGTCCAGAGTGCATCACTTACCCTGTTTTAGTAACATATTATGTACAATCTATTCAATAGCATATTCACAATATATGTTTGTCACACACAATTACTTATGTTTTAAGAGTGTGGCAGCTTTGCACATATGGGTGGTTTCTTCTGAAATTTTGGACATTCAGTGGTGGTAGAAGGCAAGATTTCTTCAACCTCTGGTTGCAACTCTTTTCTCTGTATAACTATAAGGTTCCATGAGCCTCAGCCCACAGTATCAAGTTCCAAGACAAAAAATATCATTTCCATGGGCAAAAGTTGTCCAAGTAGTACAAGCCATGCAAATAACATTTCTGAAAAGGGCTTAATTTATGCTTAACATAAGCCTTTCAGTGCTAAATTTTATATTCTGTTTGTGAAGTCGTTGGCAAATGCTGCAATTAGTATATACATAATCCAATTACTGTGTACCTTTGGGGTTACGGTCTGCACCCACTTGGGGCACCTCCAACCCTCTAATGGGAGGCTTTAGCAAGCTGAGTGGGGGCTGACTCTCCATGCTCCCCATTTGACCATAAGCACTCACGCAGAGACAACCAAGGTCATCAGGGTAGCTGTGCCACTCCCTTTCCCTGGCTGCCTACTCAGCCCTGCCTTCCAGATGCCAACCGTCCCACCTTGCATTCCTCCATCATCCTTGTGCCCTCTGCCACCCAACTCTTAAGTCCTCCCCCAGCTTGGGGCCCACTGCTGCAGAGTCAGCCTGGAGTCCCCGTCTTCCCCATGCTTGACAGCTCCTCCAACCTATGGGCACACCCTCTCCAGACAGCATGGTGTCTGCCTCTAGCAACCAGTCTCTTCCCAGCTGATAACCTTCTGGCCAGACCCAGACTTTTGGAAGAGCTGGTCCTCAGTGCCCTCTACTGCCTCTTAAAGGGCCCCTATCTCTCATTCGTCCCCTCGTACCACATACTGTAACAAAGCATTAAACAAAATTACAGTAAGAATGAGCTGTAGCATTGCATAGCAACATTTGCTGACAAGTACAGTAACAAAACATTATTGTGGAAATATGCTTACCTTGACATTGTCTCCAGGTAGATTTTTCACAAGTAAAAAGCTTCGTTAGAAGGTATGCCTTATATTAAAAAAAATATTGAAAAAAACAGATTAAATGTTTTTCTTCCACTAAACCATCAAGACTTAAAAAAACAACCCCACAAACCAATTACTGAAAATTAAATGTGGCTTTTGGCCCTTTCCGTCAACAGCTGAATAGTTTACAAAATATTCTACTATAACTGGCACTACAACGACATATAGGAGAATTACACGTGTGTAGATCCCATTTTAAAAATATGAAATATTTTGGCAGCTAACTGTGGATTGCAAACCTAATTCTTCCCCAAGGGACTGAAATATTAGCTACTTCTGTCATGAACTGAATACTGTAGAACAGACAGCCTAGTTCTTAGGACAAATAAATAAATACATTTACAACCGATACATAACAAACACTGAGATATTACACATATTGCATTAAATGAACACTGTAGACTACCACACTCAGAAATACTAGCACTAGTAGCTTCAAACCTAGAGCTGTTTACAGTGGGCTACTATGCATAAATATGATGAATATCATTTCACCCAATCATTCATCTCCTGTGTGTGCCTGAAGATCAAGTAAGCCAAGAACAGTAGGCAAACACATACAGGCATTAGGGGTACATAGTTTACACAGAGTGCTGCTGCAGCTATTTAGTTAGAAAATGTATGTGCTTTTTCAAGACAACATGTTTGAGGCAGCTCTCAAAGCAAAGCATGATAAAATCTTAAGAGCATAAAAATGAGAAAACCCAGCCATTACCTGGACAGGCGCAATAACAGCACAAGGGCCTCCTTCAAATTGTTCTAGTGCAGTAGGTTCTGACTCACTGAACACAAACCCTAGGAATGGGAAGCAAAATGATTAGTTTCCAAAGATCTGTTACCACCACAAGTCCCATTCTAATCAACAGAATAGATTTTCCTTGATAGTATCAAACTGTGGAGCACTACTTTCAGTATTCCCTCTCCGCCTAATAATCCCCAGCACTCTATTTGGCTCTTTTCACCATGTCACTGCAGAGCACGCACTGGTGTTCTCGGGAACCTACTCCAGTTATCAGACTCATTTCAAGACTGACAGTAGCAAATTTTCACCTCCCGAGTGTCCGTAGTTTTGCCTTCTGTTAAAAATGAGACATAATAGCACAATGACAAGAGGATGGAGAATGACAGGTTTCATTTCTCTGCCATTCACTCTTTTTGGCAAGTTAAAGTATACCAGATGCTTGTCAGATCAATGACAAACCCACCATGTAACTGCATAACCAAAATGCCTTTTCCATTTTCTATACCAGTGCTCTGGAACCTGTCTGTAGGTTTTATTAATTCTTGAAGTCTTCCTGAACACACACAGCTCTCTAGAATCTTGCCTGGAAAGGCCACTTTGACCTCACCCAAACCTTATGCCAATATACTAACATAGCAAATATTCATTATTTATTTTTAAAACTGACATCCCACCAAATTCCTGCCCACAAGTCCTTCTGGTCTGATGTTGCAACAGTCACTAGCACTAGATTACACGGACTATTTCATGGTGAAACCTTACAGACAAGTATGAGAAAATGAATAATGCAATCAATTAATGACTGCATAAGTATACATGAAGTGTTTGTATACAACAAAAGGCACATTCTCAAGTGGGCTGAAAAAGTAATATTATATATCTCTACACTGATATCTTAACTCTCTTGTGATGCATTCCTCAGCTGTAACCAGCTCTGTCCTACATTTTTGTGCTGAACTCTTTGTATTTTGTAGGTCATTTGCAGTTCAGAACTGGAGACTGTTTTGACACAAGGGAGGGACCAGAGTGAGCAGAATGTACAAATGTGTCACATTTACTTAGCTTTTCCAGTGGCTAAATAGGACCACAAAATCCAAAAAAAAGAGCAAAGCAGACACTGGTTTCACATGCCATTTCAGTATCTTATATGTGAAGTGGTTTTACAAAATATAAATAATCTTTTGCAAACTACTGCAGGGAAACAAAAAACAAGCACTGCCACTATTCCAAGGACTCAGGACAAGATAATGTTTTATCATAAATGCTGATGCATGTTTCATGAATGACTCCATGCATTTTTTTACCAGTATGGGGAAAGCTTTTCCTAGAGTGAAAACTTAAAGATGAGTCTCAACAATACTGATGCTAGGTTGCAACAAGCTCAATAGCAACAGCTCTTAAACAGCTATATGGAAGAGGCAGCAAAAGATACAAATGTTAAACAAGACCAGAAATGGTGATATATAAGAATGGGCAGGAACTGTGAAAATGTGGTTCGGTTCACAGTGAGTTCATGGCTTGTGAACCACAAATCAAACCGCCCATTCATGAACCAAACTAGTTCATTTGGTTAGTGTCCCTGCAAACCCCATTGAAAGGTTAAAAAAAACCAGCTGAGCGGTTGGGAGTAAGCTGATCAGCTGTTTTGGGGGTGTCTTCTGCAGCCGCTTTAAACACTAAAGGGACTGCATAAGACAGCATGAAACAGCTGATTGGCCTCCCCGCCGCTCAGCTGTTTTTGAGGCTTTCAGGGGGAACAGGAAGCAGGGGTTTAAAGGGTCTCAGAGTCCCTTTAAACCCCAGCTTCCTCTCCCATGTATGAACCACAAACAGCACTACTCTGGAAGTCCGTAACAGCAGACCCATCACGGACTTCTGTTCAGGAACCACGAACAGGGCAAAATTCATCCTGAATTTTGCTTCATGGTTCAGTTCATGCCCATCCATAGTGATGTATATTTCAGTTATCTGTTTCATTAAGAAAATGGAAACACAGGTCTTATGAACTTCCACTCCAGCTGAAGTAGCTTTAAAAGAGAGAAATCTGCGTTTGAAACAAAAAATAAGAGAACAAGGAGCAATCAAAGTGTGAGGTTAAGAAGTGAAAAGTACAACTTTTCACTAAGTCAACATGGGGAAGATAAGAACAGTGTATTCAAGTGAGAATATGGCACATTTATGTAATTCTGGTGATAATCCAATTTTACTTCACACAGTTTCACTTTATGTGAAAAGCACAGGCTGTCCTTAAACATGTGATGGATGAACATGTTGGGTGAACTATACCACACATACACATAAAGTCACAGTAGCACTTTTGTAAGCCTTTACAGAAGTGACAGCTGACCATATCCATAAGGATTGTGGGAGAAAAGGCAATATGTCTATACCACCAGAGATAAGATGTGGAAACTTTTCCAGTACATTTTCCATTCATTGTTTCATAATTCCATTCATTGTTTCACCCCAAAATTAAGAGCATACATGTATATTTTGTTGATTTGTAAACTGGGAGAAGAGGGGATAAAATCACAAATACATATAAGGGTTATAAAAACCAAGCTTGAATTCACCTGATTGCCTCTGCAAGTCAAATCAAAACCAAAGCTAAAGTTCTTGTTTACCTCCTCCTTCCCACATGACAGAAATTATATTGTTAGTTCCATGCCAGACTGGATATTACAAGTACTGCTACAGAGAGTAACAGTGAAACTGAGATCAGTGATCCCTGGGGAGAGTACAATTCTATTGAAATACATTAGCAACAATCACGTCCACAGTATACTGTGCACAGTTCTTTGGGTGTGTCAGTGTGTCAGCAGTTTTCTGTGCTTACAGGTTTTTCTTTTAAACAGCATAAGGGAAGCACGTGCTCTACTGGACTAAAGTCTTCCATCAAGCTCTGAAGCCACTTTTTATTTGTTTGTTTTTTTAACCTGATCAAGTATTTGTCACTAATTAACATAGGGTATTTTAAAATTTTTGTTTGCTAAACATAAGACAAAATAAACATGTTAACTCAGATTACACACTATTCTGGGCACCAAAATTTTTCTTCAATTCTTCTTTTCTGGAACACCCAGAAACCCAGGAACAGGGTCTACCAAGCCCAAAGTTAATCACAAGTTGTAATTCAAAGGACTGACTGTATCGAGAAGTATTTTTGTTGTGAGTGGAAAGTGATGTGGTTCTAATTTAGAACATTTGGGATAACATGCTCGCATTCAACTGAAAGCTTTGTCAATCATCTTTTGCAGAAAATATTGCCTCTTTGAAATAACAGCATGCATGTCACATCCTCACAACTTAAATCTCTATCTTCTTTCATACACTAGTTGCTGCCCAGTACTATGCTAGGGAAATAAAGAGTAATATTAATCCTATTAAGTCTACATACTTTGCCTGCATAAAATAAAATACAAGAGTTTTAAATCAGAATCACATCTACTTACTCTTGCAACCAAAATACTTATATATAATCAGTACTTTCTATTAAATTGTTTGGAATCTCATCAGCCAAAGTGAACGGAAAACAAACCATATGTGAATATTGTGTCACCCTTCATTTGCTTGGTATTATATGAGAAGTCTGAAATACCATCAAGGCCACAACACTGTCTTCTCTCAAGGGCCATCTCACCAGGACAAGGCAGAAATTAAACGTTCTTGTACTGACACAAGACAGCTGTTTAATCTTATACCAATATGCTCTGCATTGGCACAAGTAATTTATGCCCAACCACTGTATCATACAAAGCCATGAAAAGATTACATGGATGAAAATTGGAAGCAATGCATGGAACAATGGGGAGGGGCAGTGATAGAATATCTGCTTTGTATAGAGAAGGTCCCAGAATCTGCCTTGTATACAGAAGGTCCCAGATTCAATCCCTGGTATCTCCAGTTAAAAGAGTCAAGTACCATGTGATGTGGAGCACTTCTACTTGAGCCTCTGAAAAGCTGCTGCCAGTTAGAGTAAACAATACTGACATCACTAGACCAACGATCTGATTCAGTATAAGGCAGCTTCATGTGTTCAACAGACCCAAGGTAGCACTACGTGGCAACAATTACCTTGAATTCACTCTTTAAACTTAAATATTAATAATTTAAACACTGTGACAGAGTCAATGCTAGAAGACAAAAATACATGTGCATGCAGGTGTGCACACACTCTACAACCCAGTGCACATCTAAATACATCCAAACACCACCCAAGTGCAAACCACCCCATAATCCCTATGATGCTTTCTCAAAGACATCCAGACCTCATTCAGACCCACAAGTAGAGTATCCCAGCTTATCCAGTTCCTACAAACAGTCCACAAAATGGTTAAAGGCTCTCTATAACAGGGACAGCACAAACAGAACTCACAGAGGAAGCACAGAGCACAAAGTAGCACTATAGCAGGCACTGCTGATCAATGATGGCAAAACCAAACACCACATACTACCCCCCTCCAATTGAACTAAGCATACATCATCACAATGTTCATACCTACATAACACAGAGGATATTAAAGAGAAAACAACACAATGCCAACAGCTGTAACAATGGTGGAGACAAACCACAAAAAGGAAGCATAGACGCACAAACACAGAAGCTAGGTCCCCACAGACAGAAATGAAAAAGCCGCTGTGTAACACTTATGCCTTCAGACTCCCCACAGTTACCGTATACATTATTTTACAAATAGTTTTGTAATTGATCAAAACAAGAAATGTCAAATTTCCAGAAATTTTGAGGTCAAGAAATTTTTGGGGAAAACTGAAATATATGTAATACTTAGTATCCTATCAAACCTAAACTAATTGTACTGCTTTAACAACATAACTTACTTAGCATACAAAATTGCAATATTTGGCACATTTATGGAATTTAAAAGTTACAAATGCCTTTGTTTTTGTACATGCTAAATTGCAAATATACCCAATACTTGAGAGAAACCTGCAAGCTGATGCACCCTATGCTATCTTAGCACATGTACCTTAGTTTTTGCTATCTGAGAACTAAGTTGTCAACTAAACTTTCAATTTCAGAGGAGAATGGAAAGTGGCATTTCTGTCCTGCCTCCTTGTTATCTTTTTTCTCCCACCTTCAAAGTAGAGCAACAAGCTACTTTTTACCCAGGTGGTGAGTATATGTGTCACAGTGGTTCAAGGGAGAGACAAAAAGTTCAACCACAAGTCATTTCAAAAAGACCACAGACAGTATGCAACAGCTGAAAAACAATGAGAGCCCCCCATGAACATGAGGTATCCTTTTAGGTGTAGGAGCTATGTATGTCTACAGCATGCTGACCTTTAAAGCTTTTCATTCATTGTCCTTAAAGCTTTTCATTCATTCTAAAAGACAAAATATTTCATAGGATTTTTTTCACTACTCCTCAAAACTTTAAATTTTTCCACTGGAAAAAGGGGGAGGGAGAGGCCTCAGAAAAAAACTGTCCCCCCCCAAAAAAAACTTTCTCCAGTTTTTTTCCTGGGCCTTCACATCTCTATTCCAAACTAAAAATGCATGTTTTGCTACTGCTCAAATACATCAGCAATGACTGGTCTGGCACTAAGAGGACAACAAGGCTGCAGCACCCACTCAGACCAGGAAGTGAATCTGCATCTGTTGCTCACTAATGCAGCATCCGTGATTGACCAACGCTTGAACTGATCCTTGTGCCCTCTCTTTTGTAACCTTTTCACTGCAGAACAGGTATTTCACTAATAGTGACTGCCGCACATGACAGGGATGGAAGATCAATCAGGCTAACAATGGCAACATTATTGGTGATCAACCAGGCATGATTGGTGGCAATTTTATGTAGCTTCTCTTATAAGTGGTTTAATGTTATTGCTATGTTCTGATGTCACTGATGACTGAGCCTGCAACACTAATTGCTTTTATGGCTATCTTGACCTGATCCTCTGGCTTAAATTCAGAAATACAGAAGTGTAGCACCCTCTATTCCCTGGATGGCTGCAAACAATTCTTAAGGGCATAACCTGAATGGAATAATACACTGAAGAGAAACCACAGCATTTGTCATATGGACCAACATAAAACTTCACCTTCTGCATGGAGACTCGCTTTTCTTGCCCACACAAAGACATTGCTCACTAGACAGAGATTTGAATTACATCACTCATTGGCTGCTTTCATCTTACATTTTCGGAATCAGTACCAAGGACACCAGCATACGTTCCTTCTTCCCAGAACACAGCATATAAACTTTTACATCAGAAAAACCATCTTCACTTGTAAAGTTCCTACATTTATTATTCATAAGCAAGCCATCAACAAACAAAATTGCTTTTCTCAGCATGCTTTCTATTTGAAATTGGTGGTGGAGGAAAGTGCCGTCAAATCACAGCTGACTTATGGGTTTTCAAGGCAAGAGACGTTCAGAGGTGGTGTGCCATTGCCTGCCTTTCCGTCATGACCCTGGTATTCCTTGGAGGTCTCCCATCCAAATACCAGCCCAGGCCGACTCTGCTAAACTTCCGAAATCCGAAGAGATTGGGCTAGCCTGAACTATCCAGGCTTACACTAAAATATATGCAGATCCCACATCTGACAAAGTTTAGTGGTGGTGGCATGTAAAAAAGCGGGGGGGGGGGGGGGGGGATATCCATCCGTTTCCTAAGTGCCTATGTAACTAGGTACAAGGGGTTTTCCCAGTCCTGTCAAAGCAGACAGACAGCATAACATGTAGCAAATCATTGTATAAACCCAAGAACATCAAGTTATGATTGAAAATATTCGTCATAAGGGGAGTCTGGGGTCCCTGACCTTACCCATGGAAGCAATGGTGAACAGCTTTATTACAAATAGCAACAAACATAACAAAACAAACCACTTTATTTACAATAATAAAACATCACTAGTAGGAATGACTCAGTTGGTCATGGGACCAGATGAAGGAACAGAAAGAGACAGATACGTGACAGCTCCATCTAAAGGTGGCAAACAGTGGTTACAGAAGAGGGCAGGACTTGAAACCAAGATGAGCTTTCTAGCTATTTGCTGTGCAAGGCTCTTGCAATGGGTGGGGTGGGGGAGAAAAGTATCCTTTAACGACTCACAATTATGTTTTCACGACTTTATTCTGTTCCCCTTATAAACTGGGTATACTTCCATCAGGGAAACAGGGAGCTCCCAAGCAGAGGGAATCTGAAGGAGCTGATGCATTGCATCTTAAGCAGCAGTGCAGAAATGGGGGGAGAGAAGAAAAGATCACACTCTTATTCTCCGTAGAGCAAAGTAGCCGGGATAATTATAAACAGGAACAGAAATTATTCCACAATAATTAAAGGTGTGATTATTGTAAACTAAAAGACGGGCTAACTAAATTCATGGTGTAAAAAGCTTCTATAGAGTGGAAGCAGCTGTGGCACAGTTGAAGAATATCTACTTTGGAGGTAGAAGGTCCCAGACTAGATCCATTTAAAAGGATCAGGCAGCAGGTTATGTGAAAGACTTCTACCAGACACCCTGGAGAGCCACTGACCCTCAGAGCAAACAACACGGATTTGACGCTGACTCTGTGTACAGCAGCTTTGTGTCTTCATGTATGTGCATGTGTTCAAACAACTGTATGTGGTGTTTGCTCACCTAGTGTGGTATAGTGGTCAGAGTGCTGAAGCAGGATCTTGGAGACCCAGGTTTGAATCCCTGCTCTGCCATGGAATCTTGCTTGGTCACCTTGGGTCTATCACTGCCTTTCAGACTAATCTACCTCCCAGGGTTGTTGTGGCAGTAAAATAGAGGAGAGAAAAGAATCACATATGCCACCCTGAGTGCAGTGATAAAAGGGTGGCATTAAAATGTCTCAAGTGTCAGAGCATCTGCTTGGGATGCAGAAGATCCCAGGTTCAATCCCCAGCATGTCAAGGTACTGAGAGGAAAGAGTTCTACCTGAGACCCTTGAGAGCAGCTGCCAGTCAGAGCAGACAATACTCACTTAGCCTAACCAACAGTCTGACTTAGCTTCAGGTCTTCAAATAAATAAATACATAGCATTATTACCTCAGCCTTCATATAAGTGATATATGTGAAGGGACAGTATAAGAAGTTGCAGGCCCAAAGAAAGGACTGTAGTCAAATCATCTTTGGAAACTCGGCGGGGGGGATTAGAGAAGCAAAGGATGGTATGTAACAGATGTGTGGTAAAGAATGAGACACAAACGACATGGGCAAAGAAGAGGAGGAGGAGGAGGAGGAGGAGGAGGAGGAGGAGCAGGTACCTTGTGCCCAGCGACAGAAGATGGTGTCTGCCAGGCCGTGAGCGCCGGGCTTCTTGCCCCACACCAGGTGGACCACCTCCTGTCCCAGCTCAGCCATGGCGGAGGCAAAAGCAACGGCAGCGGGGGCGGCTCTCGGGCCGGTCGGCGGCCGAGTCGACTCCCGGGGCCGGAAGGAAGAAGAGGAAACGGCGGCTGAGGGTCGGCTGCCAGCCCGCGTTCCCTGAACATGGGCGGGAGGCGAAGAAGCGGCGGGCGGGGCGGGCGAGGAGGACCCAGGCGACGGCGAAGGCGGCTCCCACGGCGGGCTCCAGGCCTGGAGGGGAACAAAAAGCGGCGGGGGCAGCAGTTTCGTCAGCCCGGGGTCCCGAAAGGAACCGCAGGCGGCGGGCACAGGCCCAGCCGTGGAAGAGGGAGGGAGGCCGGCCCAGCCGAAGCCCCCGCAGCAGCAGCAGCCCTTCCCCTCACAGAGGGGACACCCCCACGCCTCGCAGAGATCTTAATTTTTTACAACCTGCCCCTCCCCGTGAGGGAGGGAGGGAGGGAGGGATCCCCATTCAATCAGAATCCAAACGGCTGAGTTACCATACAATAATTAAAAAATTAACTCCTGAGTAATTATTTACCAAGATGCTTTGATTTAAAAAACAAACAAACAAAAAACCCCGGGGAAATATCCCCCCCCCCCACCAGCCCCCCACCCCGGGCAATTGGGACTGCCCCTCCAGCAAAGGGCGTCTCCGGGGTTGGCGCGCCTTCCGCTGTTTATTTACATTATTCGATACTGACCCGGCTATCCGCTCTCTCCACACTCCCTTCCTCAGTCTCTGTAGTAATACTGAATAGTGGAAGGGGGGGCACTACGAATGGTTTTGATTGGACTAGCCGGCTGACAGGCAGACCTCTGGTCTAATCAGAGACCGCTCTTGACGTTATTGTAACCTGCCTTTCTGGACCTGGAGTAGAACATAGTGGCAGGGATAGGAGCCGGGGAGAGCCGACGCACCAATGGGGCTGGGCTGATTCTGATTGGACAGCCACCGGCGCTTAACAAGCGCGTAGATGAACCAATCGGTGGAGGCCGGAGAAGGGCAAGCTACTATAGGCTTTATTCGTTCGAGAGAGTGTTAGGGAGGTGGGGGGTCAAAGAGGTGTATTAAGAAAAAAAAGAATTCGTACAGCGGTATCTTCCGGTTTTGATTAGGGTTGTCTGTGTTCGGTGTGAAAACACACAGGAACTAACGCGAAAAGCATAAATAAAATAGGACATAGACTGGGTGTAGTGTTTGCGGCTGCAGACGTCGTAAAACGATGCTTCACGGCAGTGAAACTTAATAAAAATAATAAAGTAATAAATAAGGTCAAACTTAATTTAGGTTTGTGCAGCTCTTAACGCATCTCAAAAGTCATTGCATGTGGTCCTAAACTCCAGTTCTCTATGTTGTCCAGAACGGCTTTCTTTCACGTGCCCTTCCGTGTAGTTCTCTGATTCGTACCATCTTTACATTATTCCCTCTTTTGATGCAAGTATATCACTTCTCCTCAGAAGCGTCTTACGCTGCAATCTTATATCAAGGGAGTAAAGCCCTGATAGAACACAGTATTCAAAAACCTCTGAAATCTCTCCATACTTGGTTGGCATATGGTACTGCTGTTTCATTTGTTCTGAGTAGTCTGTGGTAATAGGGAACAAGCAGATTTCCCCCACTCTGTTTCTTTACTATTTCAACATTTTTGTTTGTTGTTCCATTCCTCCTTCACTCTGGCTTCATAGTATATGTTAAGTGGCTCGCTTAACAAAGCAGTCAGAGAGTGATTCAGCAAGAACACAGCTTTATTCTTCAACTCCAACACCATTCAGGTTTTACATTGCAGTTGCCCTGCTTTTAAACATTCCCGGCTAATGTAGCCACTGTACACATACCAACCAATAAGGTTGTTCACATAAGGACCAATCATGGCCGTTCCCGCTCAGGGAGCTTGCTGCGAAGTGATTGGCTTGTTACTTCCTGGGCTAGCAATACCATTGGATGTATTTGGATCCTAGCCCAGGATGAAGCTTAACATTACAAATTAATGAGATGTTTCACATACATTATGCATTCCATGGCAGTTTTGGAATACACTACAGTATAGAAGCAGAATGTTATGTACTGAACAAGGACAGCACTGGGATTGGGTCAATATGTGTTCTAGCCGGGAAAAAGAGATTGAGTTTCTAGACACTCTAAATGACTGTGCTATGGAGCAGATGGTCACGGAACCTACCAGGGGAGAGGCGATCCTTGATTTGGTCCTAAGTAACACTCAAGACCTGGTGAGAGATGTAAAAGTGATTGCACCACTTGGAAACAGTGATCATAATGTTGTTGAGTTCATCATTTGTACAAATAGAGAATTGGCCAAAAAGACTCACACAACCATTTTTAACTTTAAAAGGGGTAATTTCTCTGATATGAGGGGACACGTGGGGAGGAAACTGAAAGGAAAAGTAGAAAGGGTCAAAACAATTGGGGAAGCTTGGGATCTATTTAAAACTACGATCCTAGAAGCTCAAAAAATATATATTCCGCAGGTTAGGAAAGGCACAAACAGGTATAGGAAAAAGCCTGCATGGTTAACAAACAGAGTAATGGAGGCTGTAAAAAGTAAAAAGAATTCCTTTAAGCAGTGGAAAGCTAGTCACAGTGAGGCTGATAAAACGGAACACAGGCTATGGCAAATAAAATGCAAGTCTGAGGTCAGGCAGGCAAAAAGGGAATATGAGGAGCATATAGCAAAAAACGTAAAAACCAACAATAAAACTTTCTTCAAATACATTAGAAACAGGAAACCAGCCAGGGAGGCAGTGGGGCCCTTGGACGACCAAGGGGTAAAAGGAGTATTGAAGGATGATAGGGAAATGGCTGAGAAGCTAAATGCATTTTTTGCCTCCGTCTTCACTGTGGAAGATGAGAAGTGCTTGCCCACTCCAGAACCACTGATTTCAGGAGGGGTGTTGAAAGACCTGAGTCAGATTGAGGTGACGAGAGAGGAGGTCCTAAAACTGATAGACAACTTAAAAACTGAAAAATCACCAGGCCCAGATGGCATACATCCGAGAGTTCTGAAAGAACTCAAATGTGAACTTGTAGATCTCCTGACAAAGATATGTAATCTTTCCTTAAAATCTGCCTCCATTCCTGAGGATTGGAAGGTAGCTAATGTCACTCCCATCTTTAAAAAGGGTTCCAGAGGAGATCCGGGAAATTACAGGCCAGTCAGTCTGACGTCGATACCGGGTAAATTGGTGGAAACCATTATTAAGGAAAGAATTAGTAGGCACATAGATGAACAAAACCTATTGAGGCAGACTCAGCACGGTTTCTGTAAGGGAAGATCTTGTCTCACTAACCTGTTAGTGTTCTTTGAGGGGGTGAACAAACATGTGGACAAGGGGGATCCAATAGATATTATTTACCTTGACTTCCAGAAAGCTTTTGATAAAGTTCCTCATCAAAGGCTCCTAAGTAAGCTCAAAAATCATGGGATAGAAGGACAAGTCCTTTTATGGATCAAAAACTGGCTAGTTCATAGAAAACAGAGAGTGAGTGTAGGTGGGCAATTTTCTCAGTGGAGGGTGGTAAGCAGTGGGGTACCGCAGGGATCAGTACTTGGTCCACTGCTTTTTAACTTGTTCATTAATGATTTGGAGATGGGAGTAAGCAGTGAAGTGGCTAAATTTGCGGATGATACAAAGTTGTTCAGGGTGGTGAAAACCAGTGAGGATTGTGAGGCACTCCAAGGGGATCTGTCAAGGATGGGCGAGTGGGCGTCAACATGGCAAATGGGGTTCAATGTGGCCAAGTGCAAGGTGATGCACATTGGAGCCAAAAATCCTAAATATAAATACACATTGATGGGGTCTGAACTGGCAGAGACTGAGCAAGAGAGAGATCTTGGAGTTGTAGTGGATAACTCACTGAAAATGTCGAGACAGTGTGTGACTGCAATAAAGAAGGCCAATGCTATGCTGGGGATTATTAGGAAGGGTATTGAAAACAGATCAGCCAATATAATAATGCCCCTATATAAATCAATGGTGAGACCTCATTTGGAATACTGTGTGCAGTTCTGGGCACCACACCTTAAAAAGGATATTATAGCTTTGGAAAAAGTGCAGAAAAGGGCAACTCGAATGATAAAAGGGTTGGAACACTTTCCCTATGAGGAAAGGTTAAAGCGCTTAGGGCTCTTTAGCTTGGAGAAAAGACGACTGAGGGGTGACATGATCGAGGTTTATAAGATTATGCATGGGAAAGAGCAGGTAAAAAAAGAGGTACTTTTCTCCCTTTCTCACAATACAAGAACTCGTGGGCACTCCATGAAACTGCAGAGCGGTCGGGTTAGAACGGATAAAAGGAAGTACTTCTTCACCCAAAGAGTGATTAACACATGGAATTCACTGCCACAGGAAGTGGTGGGTGCTACAAGCATGGACGGCTTCAAAAGGGAATTAGATAAGCATATGGAGCAGAGGTCCATCAGTGGCTGTTAGCCACAAGGTATAGCTAGGGGCTCTGGGACAAGTGATGCTCTGTCTTCTTGGTGCTTGGGGGGGGGGGTCAACAGTGGGAGGGCTTCTAATGTCCTGGCCCCACTGCTGGACCTCCTGATGGCACTGGTATTTCTGGCCACTGTGTGACACAGAGTGTTGGACTGGATGGGCCTTTGGCCTGATCCAACATTGGCGTCTCTTATGTTCTTATGTTCTTATACTGACTAGTTTGAGTTACCAGAACAATAGGCAACCAGGATCCTGGAATGGACCTATTGATTAAGAGGTGAAAGGTAGCCTATCACGGGGAGTGGGTGTATGTGGGGTGTGTTGATTTGCACGCATATAAGCAGGACTTCTGCCCTGTTGTGGTTGTCTTAGAGTTTAGCTGAACCACTAATAAACTATGAGCTGATCACTACACACCTCTCAAACCCAGTATATTGCACAGAATTTGTAAAACAAATTCTCCTATTGAGTTACGAATACAAAGCCTTGGGTTCCTTCAGATCACTTTTGCATGTTTTGTGAGGTGTTTTAAGCAATTAAAAAGATTACCTGTGTAAAACACATTTTAATAGGATCTTAATGCAACCATACACACTTGCAATACATGCATACATGCAATTATATTAAAGTTGCTCTTTTTTGTATTAGGATGCTTTTAATGCAGTGTTTTAGATGTGTGATCCCATACATTGTTACAAGACCTCACAAAATGAGTATTGATTCTTGATGTATCTGT